GGAGGCATACAAAACATATGCTCAGCGAATGGTTCGATCCTTAGGCACTTTTTTGGGCTTCTTTCAATCCACTCTAGCAAAAAGTGGCTAGACCCTTCAAAAAATGAACAGTGAAAACTTGAAACCCACTGAAAAGGGCGATTTTGAAACGCGGCGGCTTAGGCTTATGCTTGGCTTACTTAGTTAGGCCTAGGAATAGGATTAGCGGCCTCAAACTGGCGCTTCAACATTCCCGAGAATCCACCTAAAAACGGTATTTCGGAACGGCAACCCCGGGAGGGAATCCTGTATACAGCCCGGGGGACAGGTCTGACCGGCATTCTTTCTTCTTCTTCTTTCCTGCTCTTCTTTGACACTTTTCCAAAGAAGGAACACACACCTGAATGCCCCGCGGGCACACACATATACACCACGACGAAAAACGCGTCAAACCGGGTTACGTAATTATAGCCCACTTTAGGCGATCTACGACCCCCTACAACTTTTTCGGGGTGTGAGAAGTGCGAAAATCCTCCGAATCGGTGGTGAACTTGGCAAATTTGATGGACCGATTGGTTCTTTCGCATTAACGGGGGTGGAGGCCGAACTTTTTGTGTAAGTCTAGACATTACTAAAACATTTCCTATCATGTTACTAGACGTGTTTTTACTAAAATAGAAATATTTTTAAACTAGGAAAATATCTAGAAACGATGCATGATAAAATGTCTAAAAAAGTCGAACTGTTTGTCCAAAACCGGCCATCCTTGGTCGAAAAACCTATCTTTTTCTATTTTGAAGAAAGTTTGCAACGTTTTAACGTTCAGGAATAGAAAAATACAGCTTAGAAAAACGTGCGTCATTTATATTTGAAAAATTAGGAACTAAGCAAAAAGTTGGTCCCTCCCCCGATAATGCGAAGGGACCGGCATCTTCGTTCCGAAAAAATCTAAAACGCGTATTTTTCTTTAATAACGTTCAATTGTACCAATTTATTCCCGAAAAAATCAAACAATCAACAGCACAGCGAGATAGATAGAGAGAGGGTCACAGAAAGAGATTTTTGGAAAATGCCCATAAAATAATACCAATAATCATCGACAAAAATCACAGCCTAGAGCAAAATAATAAATACGAGAGGGTGGTCCGTATAAGTTATGAAAAATGGGGATAACAAGAAAAGGAGGGGACCAATTAACTCTACTCATACATGGCGATGAGGTACATCATGTAGATGCCGGTGAGTAGGGCAATGATCTCGAGCACCGTCTGCTTCAGCGAAGAGTTCTCGAGCAGCTCGGGGATGACGGACACGGTGGCGATGTAGATGAAGCCTGAAATTTGGAGTTATGAGGGTTTTATTGATTTCCAAAACTCCGGGCATAATACCGACAGCCAATATATTGCCAGGGCAAAATATCGGCCGGACAAAATACCGACAGCCAAAATCCCGTCATAAAAATATGCTCTAAAAACACCGACAGGGCAAAATCCCGACATCCGAAACAACGACAGGGGGAATCCGGATAGGCCGACTTCCGGGTTGTCCAAATTCCGGCGGCCATAAACCCGACAGACAAAAATATCGACAACGATAAACTTCAGTATCCTGTCCGGATTCTCCCCTGCCGGAATTTTAGCTTTTCGGTTTTTCGGTTGTCGAAAGTTGAGTGTCGGCATTTTGATCTGTCGATAGTTTGAAGCTGTCGAGATTTTGGCCCGTCATTTTTGGATTACGGGAATTTAGCCGCCGATATTTTAAGGTCGGGATTCTGGCATTTCCCCAGGTTTCTCACCTCCAGCAGTGAAGGGAAGAACCCAGGTGGCCGAGGCAGCATCGGCGACAGCTCCGTCAGCCGACCAAAGTGAGAGCAAGCAGCCAGAGAAGGCGCCGAGAGCAGTCACCAGCTGGATCATCATGGCCTAAAAATACACAATACAGAAAAAATTTACGAAATTACCCGAGTCTTGGTGTATCCAGATTGGACGAGGATCGCAAAGTCTCCAATCTCATGGGGGACCTCGTGGATGAGGACGGTCATGGTTGTAACGATTCCTAGAATTCGAAAAATAAAGATTTTGGTCAGGTGAGATACCGATTCCAGTTCCGGCGATGAACGAGGCTCCAATGGCCAGGCCGTCGGTGAAATTGTGAGCAAAGTCGGCGGCAAGGTTCAGGTAGGCGGCAATCTAAACCGATTTTGTTTCAGAATTATAAATTTTCAAGCCTTCTCGGTTCAGGGGGCAACAACCTTTTTCTAAAATAAATAGACAGAGTGCTCCTAAACTTCTTAATTATCCCTTAAAGGCCAGAAATTTAAAAATTTGTATGAAGCAAATCCAAAAATATAGAATTTTCAACTAAAACTGGCCGATTCTAGATCACATTTCACTTTGAAAATGTCTAAGTTGTTTTAAATTGTTTTTCACTTCAAATACAGTTAAATTTTACAAAAAAAAACACTACTAAAATAATTACCATACGTTCTGGACTTTTGGAAAAAGGTTGGTCCCCCGCTGATGAGAAGGAACCCCATTTTCCGACCCAGAAAACCAACCTTAATTCCCTCGTGCTCCTTGGGCGCATCAGCCTTCTTCTCGACCTTCTTCCTGTCCTTCTTGCCTCCCTTCTTCTCATCTTCTTCCTCGTCGTCAGTTTCTTTGGCCTTCTGAAAAAAACGTGTCTACTCGTAAAAACTTAAAACCTACACCGCCGTGGGAATGTCCGTGTCCTCCGTGGCTGTGTCCGTGCTCACCGCCGCGCAGGATTCGGAGCAGCTTCTCGATGGTCAGGAAGGCGATGATACCTAAAAGCCGAGAGGTACTGTAAAGAGCACAAAAATGTACCGGCAAGAACCCATCCACCAACGCTCATATCATGAGGGCCATGGGAGTGGCCGTGATGTTCATGCGAGTGTCCGTGGCCGCCTTCTAAAATTGAAAAATTCTAGCCCGACGTTAAAAAGAGTTGAAATCGAAAGGGGGAAGAATTGAAATTAAGTGGCTGATCATTTTTCGAAAAGCATTTTTTCGGAAGTCATTTTGGGAAAGTCGTATTTTCGAAAATCAAGAAATTTGAAAATTTTTTAACTATTACTATTAGTTTCTAATTAGAAAAATTACTATTTCTGCCTCTTATGGCCGTTTCCGATTGGTACTTTCTTACAAAATCAAGATATATTTCGAAATTTCGTGATTTTCGCAAAAATACTTTGGAAAAGGTTTTTTGGTAAGGATGATTTTCTTTTTCAAAAAGGTCTACGGAAATCTCCGATTTACCTTCAGCTGGTGGCTGAGCGTGCGGGATCAGATGGAGGAAGGCGTCACCGAGCAGACCGCCGGAGCCGAAAGCCAGCAGCACCTTCAGCAGCGGCCCAGAGTCAGAAGTGTTGGCCTAAAAAGAATGAAGTTTCCAGAAAATGTGTACCTGGATCGGGATAAAGAGCAGGATGAGGAACGGAGCGATCGAGATCATGAGCGTGGCGCCGAGCGCGTGCACCCACAGCCTGGTCCGGGCGTCGTTCATGAAGGAGAGGGCTCTAAAAATGCATGTAAAACATTGTAACATTGTAACATTAACGCAAAAAAAACATTGTTAGAAAAGCTCTTACCCTTCGTATTGGTGACTATCAGCCGGATGGACTTCTCGCTTCGCCTTCGCAGCTCCGTGACTGTGACCTTGGCCGCCATGCGAATGTCCGTGGTCCTCAGCACCGTGCGAATGTCCGTGATCTTCGGCTCCGTGGCTAAACAAAAAGAATTGAAGCGTGCAAAACAACCCCGTACCTATGCGGGCACTTTCCACCAGTATGGGCATGGCCGTGCTCCTCGGCTCCGTGCGAGTGTCCGTGGTCCTCGGCGCCATGGGAATGTCCGTGGTCCTCAGCTCCGTGGGAGTGTCCGTGATCGACGGCATCGTGACTGCAATAAGAACTAAGCTGAAGATAACAATTTTAAGTATACCTATGAGCATGCGGACACTTTCCTCCGGTGTGTGAGTGCCCGTGGTCGTGGGCAGCTGCCTCGGCCGCTGCCTGAAAAATACTTTGGAAAGGCGTCACAGTATCTCAATAGTAGTGGTATTTTTCCTATAATCCGATTTCTCAAATATATAAGTATCGGAAACGTTTAAAAACTGTTTTTCGTCAAAAATATAGATTTTTTTCACCAAAATGAACCATTTTTACCAAAAGTTAGAATTTTTTAAAGTTGTTAGATAGTTTTTCGCGGTGAAATAGTCGATTTTAATAAAAACCATTCAAAATACTTTATATTACGTCACTAAACATCCGAAAAAAGCCGCTCGCCGCATTTTCGAAAGCACCCTTTCTCACAGGCGAATGGTAGATTTTAATCTCGAGCCAAAACCGACCTGCTCGTTCACCTCACGCCCATACTTCGAGTGCGGGGCCTCGTGGGTGTGGCCGTGGTGTTGTTGGCCATATGCGGCCACGACGAGCGCCGCCGCGGCGAGGAGCAGCCCGAAGCGCATAATTACCCCTGAAAGAACCTTTCTTTAAATCTTGGCCATGCTTCTAGACAAAAACACAGTTTTAAACCATGGCAAATATCCGAGTTTTAACGTCATCAAACCTAACGCCTCGTCCAAATAAAAACAAATAAGATTTTAAACCTTGCAAAATATCATAGATTTCTTGGATTTAATCCAATAGTAAAATAAATACCGGGAATACAGTTATTGACATTTATTCAAAGGCATGTGTGTGTGCATCAACAACAAAGGCAAAACGAACACTTTACAAAGCAGAAGGGGGACTCGTGAAGCAAGTTGAGGGGCGGCTAACCGGATACGCGGAGGTGACTGGGAAAAGTTCGTAGATTATCGAAAAGCGGAAACGCAGCTGTAATCAAAAGTTCGCATGTTTTAATCCCTAAAAGAGCTAATTTTTAGTGTTTAATCGAGAGAAGGAGAACGAAAAATGATCACACGACAATCGGGGGCAAAACGATCACATATGGTGAGGGTACGTAAATGGGGCAAGAAGAAGCGGAAAGACATCAGTATCTCGGTTTGCGGATGGTGGCACCGGAGCCCTCGAAGACGGAGAAGCCAGGGCCAGCTTTGGCGGCTTCACGCTGCTCCTCCAGCAACACTTCACGGCACTTGTAGTCACAACGGACAAAGTTCAGCTGGCCGGGTTGGTAGTCCGGGATGCAGAACGCCTCGGGGATCTCGGTGGTGCTGGTGATCTCGTCGACGGTGGACACTTCGGAATTGTGGCGTGACTTCTTGCCGTCAAGCCGTTGGCCGCCTAAGAATGGAAATATTAATTTATTGTTAAAAAATAACAGAAAAACCCGGTTCTTTCGCATTGGGTTTTTTCGGCTTGAAAGTTTGTCAAAATTGACAAAAACGATTCGATTGACAGGAGAAAAAAAAGCAGATTTCTAATAAACACTTGCCCCCTTGAAATAGGCTAAATTTTGTTAAAACACTATCACTATTAGGACTAGGTCAGAATACTATGTAAAAAATCAGCCCCCAATATTGCAAAAGCTCCGAAAAAAAACTTTTAGTAGCTAAAACCCACCAGAAGCAAACGGGACGAGCTTCTTGGCGACGCTGGCCGGCGCAGCCTGGGGCATCGGCGCAACCGGCATCACGTTCGGGCCACGGCTGCTGCCCGGTCTCGCCGTTTCCTCGTACCCCTCTGGCGCATCAAAGTCGAGATTCACGTCACACTCCACGATGCACACCGCGTTCTTCGGCTTCAAATCTTGGACGATGAAGTCGAGCTGCTGCTCGTTGTAGACGACACGGATGCGATCGTCCTTCGTCAGACAGGCCCACTTGCGGAGCTCGACCTCGAGCATGGCACGGGGATTAGTTATCTGAAAAAAGGAGTTAATCTGGTTTTTCTTCTCAGCGAAATTTTGGAAATATCCAAAGCCCTACCTGCAAAAACTCGAGATTCTGCGGCTTCAGCTTGGCATAGGTAGCCTTAGGCAGAACGGCCGAGTCGACACGAACAGCATCGCCCTCATCGAGCCCGAGCTGGGTCATCATCCACGCCGGCAAGTAGCAACGGCCCTCCTCGGCGCTGAACTCCAACACGCCGCAGTGCGTCGCCTTCTGGCGCTCGGGCTTGATGTTCATCACCTGGATCACGGAGATTATTTTTTAGATACAATAATACAATTTTACCTTGAACAACATGACGGGCGATTGGTTGTCCATTTGCATGATGTGGTCGAGCACCGAGGGTGGAAGAATAGCTTTGCCGCCATAGTTGATGCCTTGTACCTAGAAAAAGATAGAATTTTCGGATCTTTGGCATTGCCGGGAGGACCATCTTTCTTTCTAAGTAGCCAATTGTATAAGCAGCACTTTCTAATAATTTTTATAGTATTCCTAAACGCAAAAAAACTACAAATTTCGATCAAAAAATACAAAACTATCGATTTTTCCACCTAAACATCACCTAAAAACCTTTTTCCCTCGAGTTGTTTTCGTGTTTTTTCACTTAAAATAGAGTCAAATTCTAGTCAAAAGGCCTAACTGGCAAAAGCGGCACCACAAACAAGAATTTACCTTATTTGAGTCGGCGCTCTGCATGAACGGGGCCGAGAAGGCGCGCAAATTCGTGCCGTACGGCTGCTGCCGGCCGCCACCCATGAAGAATCGTCCGGCCGCATCGCGCATCCAATCCGCCATCCTTTCTGCAGACATTCTTTTGCGAGTCGAACAGGAAAAGAAAGGAAGAAGAAAAAGCAAATCGAATACGCCGGTAAACGGATATCCGCGGAAATACACTCTACGGTTGATCGTCCATGGGTGTATTGCGTACTATCGAGCAAAGCCTATTTTTTTCGATTTGAATTGGTTTTTCGCCATTTTCTAGTTGTTTGGAGCTTTATAAAACTAAGTTTATCAAAAAAATCAGGAAACCGTGATTTCTAAGCGTTTTGCCAAAAGTGTTTTGATCCAAAAATCGATGTTTTTGGATGGTCTGTCCTTTATTAAAAGCAGAAATTCGCAAGTAAGAGGATTAATTTCGTAAAAGCCATTTTTAGCGGCACAGCTCACTTATTTCAAGGCCAAAAGGCAGCAAAACAATCGGTAAATCGCCAGAAACTACTCCCGATGACAAGGAACCTAGTAATTTTCATAAAAACTAATCGGAAATTCGTGCTATCCATATTTGCACCCGGATCCGGCGGTTTTTCACCTTGCAAAGAGGGTCAAGGGTAATGTCAGCACGAAATTTTTGGCCGGGCGGGGGTGCTTGGGGGGCGACAAACTACGCGTGGGCCAGTTGGCCGATGGGGGTTGGTTGTCGCCCCTCACCTTGGAGCGTCATGTATCCACTCGCGCATCCCGTGAGAGTCTAGAGGGCCTTGCATTGACTAGTGTAATCGAAAAAAACGGCTCCGGGTAAGGAAACGGAGGCGGAAAGGACGAGTTTTATAGTATTAAACTCGGGGGGGTTTTGTTACGATTAAAACCCGGCCGTTTTGGAATTTCGCAAAGATTGAGGCCCTGATTTATAAGGGGTTCATTGATCGGCGCACGCGCACGTTGCGTAAGGGGTTCATTAGACCGAAACTCACTAGGGCGAAAATCATTGCGCTGACAGTTCACTACTCCAACACTCAATACGCCAAAGCTTTTTAGTAGAATTTTACTGTATCGAAACAGAAAAACGTTTTTTAAAACGGATCTAAAAATGGTTTAAAATATGTGTCCAAGAGCCGAAAATGTTGTTATTTTTAGCCTGAAAAAAAAATTTGAGCCAAAATTAATAATTTTAATAAAAATTTTTGAAGTTTTTATGCTTAGGAATAGATATAAGCAATTCAACAACACATAGTTATATAAAAAATCTATCTTTTGGCAAAAGGGCATGGCAAATTTTTTGGATCTTTTGGCAAATAAACGGGACCTTTGTGCCCAACTACGGCGCCCCGCTCTCCATTTCAGCACTACTGACTGACCAATCAAGGCAAATATTTGCCCCCTCCCCCTGGGGGGACTCGATTCGACACTTTCCTGTCATTTCCTCGCCTACCGAAACGGGCCCGATTGATTAATGGCGAGACGGGCGATGAGCAAAACGAGCGAAAAAATTTGAAAATCTTCTGTGCTGAAAAATTCTGAAATGTGGCGTGCCCTTCCGCTTATTTTTAGATTTGTAAACCGCTATTTTCACGTATTTAGGGGCGTTTGGTTAAAGAATATTTTTACGTCGTCTACTCGATCAGCGTACTGTTCTGGCGGAGCCCTGCCAGAAATTTTGCACGAAGATCACCCCGGCAAGCTCTAACAGAGCGCAAGGAAACCGACGTCTACGACCGGTGAACCGACGTCACGTTTCAGCGTTTTTCCAATACTGTGAAGCGGAATCAACGTTTATTTCTCATGTTTGGAGCTCTTTTTTCAGCGTAAACCGCATAAAACAGATATCTTTAAAAAAATTCCGGGGCTTTTCAATAATGCAATTTTCTTGAGCAAGAAAATCCTAGCGCTTGATATCGATATCAAACCGTTCTTCTCGACATCCATCAACAGCCTTTTATCGATTTTCTGTTTGCTGCCGGTGAGCTTGGCAGAGAAACGATCATTTGTTTGTTCTCCGATCTTCGCCCAACAGCCCAACCAGGAATTTCTGCGGGTTTCTTATTTTTGCGTGGTGTTTATCGAATTACAACATTTTTACCTTTTTAGATTTTTTAACTTAAATTATATGGCACCACTTACAACTAAAAATACCTGGCTAAAACGACAGATCGGGCACGGTGCTTTTGGTGATGTGATTTTTGCTGAATTTACCGACGTGAGTGGATCTGGAAAAAAAGATAGCGAGAGAGAGAGAGAGAGAGAGAGAGAGAGAGAGAGAGAGAGAGAGAGAGAGAGAGAGGTCGAGCGAGAGAGAGAGGGAAGAGAGAGAGAGAGAGAGAGAGAGAGAGAGAGAGAGAGAGAGAGAGAGAGAGAGAAAGAGAGAGGGAGAGGGAGAGAGGGCGAGAGATGCCCAGCAGTGATTTTTATGGATTTCAGCCCAATCGTAGTGAAGGAGCTGCGCGGAGCCCAAAGCACGGCTGAGTACCAATTGGAATTCGGGGCCTTAAAAAGGCTAGTCCACGAGAATATCGTCAAATTTATCGATGCCCCTATCGATTACCAGCACGATCGTCTGGGCTGCCCATTGATTTTTATGGAGTTTTGCGAGTATGGATCGCTGAGGGCAGGTGAGTATTTAAAAAATAGGATTACGGTACGATTCCGCTTCGTTTACACCTAATAACATTCAAAAAACTACAATTTTTCAGTGATCTTCAACAAAGAGATCATCTACAGCGTCTCGACGATCGTCCAATGGGCTAGGCAACTATTCAGAGCCCTAGATTTCTTGCAACAACACGAAATGGTACACCGAGACATCAAACCGGACAAGTAGGCCATTTTGCTGATTTTCAGGGTATTCATTGACTTAGGGAAAACGTGTGTAGCATACAAGGATTTTAATACATCGGATATACCGTAATTCACGTCAAGTGAATGGATACTACGAGATACACCTCCTTACAGTCTCCTCCTGACCCGTCACTTCGTGCTGAAAGTTAGTGACTTTGGGATAATGCGTCGACCTGGTGATCGAGAGGTGCAAATGGCCGGTACTCCGGGGTATATTGCACCTGAATTGTCGAAAGCTGCAATCAGGACGATTCCGGAAGAGGTGGGTATATGGTAGTGTAACGTACTCTAGTGTACTAACACGTACCGTAACGTATTTTTCAGCACTATTCAATGAGAGACGTAATAACGTCCGTACGTATTGTCCCGTACCGCACAATACATGTGCAGTTTCCCGTCTTTTTTTTGTGAATGCCGCACCCGCGACACGCAACGCGACGGCTATGCCGGCGGTAAAAAAAGGCGTAATTACGTAATCAAAAGGCTAAAATGCGCGTTGCGTGTCGCGATGGAGTCCACGTCTATGCCTTGCCAGCTCCTATAAAAACTCCAACTTCATCCCCATTTCAGCACCAATACAAATGCGACGTGTACAGCGCCGGAATTGTCTGTTGGGAGTTGACGAGGCGAAAGTTTGAACGCCGTTCTTTCTTATTCATTTAATTCAGAATTACTTCCGACAAAAACTACGGCAATCGATCGATAATCGCGCTCGGGACGCCGGAGGCTGAGATCGAAGAAAGGATCTTGTGGTTTGAATTTAACAATATTCAACTACCGTCGGCCGATTATTTTTATTTTTATAAAAAAGCTAATTGCGATCTAAATCCCACTTAAAGTTTATTCCTATAGATATATTTTTCTAATATGTATTCTATGATTTTGAATTCCATAAGTTTCTACCAACTTACCACATTTTTAAAATGCTATTTAGCGCCCTCAACCCCGACTTTGAGCACCGACCGTCAGCCAGGGCCCTTCTAAAGGAATGGGAAAACCTGGTAAGCGAATGGCTTCGAGAAAAAAGCCACCTTTTAAGGAGTTCGACTACGAATGGCTGCCCGAACATCGCCGCGGCCATTCAACGCTTCTCCGGCCGATCGGCCTCGACGGCAATATCGTCCCTATGACTGCGGCCTCAGAATTTGGCCTAGCCCCTCCCGCCGCTTCGTCCAATTTCTCATGGTCCTATGGATCGTTTGGGTCTGGATTTGAGATGATCGATATGGAAAGTGGAGCGTATGGGAAATTGATGAATGCTTGGATGAAGGTGGGTTATTGACTAGTAAGCAGTCGCTAAAATCGTCAAAAACCAGCTTTCGCTGTCCATTTAAAGGGTTGGGCAAGACAGATGCTGTGGATTTTCATGGCTATGGAAACGTTATGGGTTGCTTACGTTAGGCATAGACTTGGATTAGACTCAGGCTTAGGCTTGACTTTGGGTTCGGTTTGGCTTAGATTGAGGCTTAGGCTTAGGCGTGGGTTTAGGCTTGGCTAAGGGTTAGGCGTGGCTTAGTCTTCGGCTTCGGTTCAGGTTTAGACTTGGGCTTCGGCTTCGGCTTAGCTTCGGTTTAGCTAGTCCTAGGTGTATAACGTTATACGCTTAGCCTGAGCCTGACCCTAAGTGCCCAAGCCCACGCCCACGCCCACGCCCAATCTTAACCCTAAGCCTAGGAGGAGACTACGTGTTTGACCCTTGCCGCCTGAAGAGGTCCTATCGGGAAGCGCCAGAATCGACCCCTTTGAGCGACTAGGTCTCGACAAGCGCGAGCGGCGTCAAAAGAACAGCTTTTAGACTATTTTTATAGTCTAAAAGCTGACGCCAAAAGTCAAACTTTCCATAGAATATGGTGTACTTTGGAGTGGCTCGTAGTTGTCTAGAGCTAGTGGAAGGGAGAGGTCGATTTTTGCGCTTTTTGGCCACTAGAATGTTAATAAAGGCTAAATCCATGGATTCATTTGCGGCTGGCTAAACCCTTTAAACTGACGGCAAAGAAGTCCATTTTTCAGAGGTCTGAGCTTTCGACCTTCTTCGATGACCTGATTACCGTATCGATAGGCGGTAGATGTGCTTCATCAGAAGCTTCTCCTTCTTCTTCTTCTTCTTCTCCCTCGCTAGCCACCCTCTCAGCCTCTCAATTCATCGTCCCTCCCCTCTCCTCTTTTGCCCGTTCTCTATACCGTAATGGGGATACTAGTGGACAAACAATCAATCAATTACGACATGAAAAGATTGCGGAATTCAAGGAGAGAATTGAACTGCTTGATGTTGATGGGAGAGAAAGGGTGATGGCGGAATGTGAACATCTACTGAAGGGAATATCAGAGGAGAAGGATGTTGAACTGGTTGAACTCGAGGTGGAAGCAGAAGGAGAACAAGGCGAAGAAGATATGGCTGTTTTGGCATTTCGAGCACTGTTGCTTCTGGATTATTTGCTTCAGAAGAGCTGCTTCTTGTTTTCGGTAATTTTATGGAGAGAGGAGAAAGAGCGAGAGAGAGAGAGCCAGCTAAAAAGAGAGTGAGAGTGAGAGAGAGCGTCAGAGTGAGAGAGAAAGAGAGAGAGAGAGAGAGAGAGAGAGAGAGGGGGGGAGGGAGGGGGAGAGAGGGGGCGAGTTCCTATTCTCTGTTTTTTTTCAGATCCAAGTGATGGCAGCCTGTGAAGGAGGCCAATTATCATCCGAAGATCTCCTTCGACTGCTCAAAATGGCCCAGAAGAATATAGAAGAAGTCGAAAAAATTGCTCAAAGGAGGCTTAAGGTAGGTTTTTAGAACTTTTTAATGAAATTGCATTAAAATTGCGGTTTCGTTTTTATTTTCGTTAATTTGAAAATAACGTAAAAAATTTGAAATTAATACCCCAAAAAACAAATAAATTACCATATTCCAGTTCACAGTCTGGCGCCTGGGCGGCTCGCAGTACGAATGGCTCCGCCTGGCCGGCCACCTCGTCAAGAGCGACCTCTCCGAAATGCGAAACGAATCCGAGCTCCGCCAAAAACCGATGAAAACCCGGAAAGAAGTCCCGCTAGATGTGGAAACAGTCCGAAGAGACGGTCTAGCTGCCCGTATCTCTCGTATCGTACCCCCGGATAATGATGAGTCCCTGGTCCCTCCGATTAGTGCGTCGGAAGCGGAATTGTTGGATGACCTCCAGGAACAGCCATTACCCGGCTATTATTTCTTGGATGACGTGCTTCCGGTTGTGACTTGTCGCTGTCAACTGAAATGTGCTCAAAAAGTATTTGAGAATCCGTATGGACCGGAGTTTAAGGTATGGAGCAAGAGGTGTTTGCTAGCTCTCTCTCTCTCTCGCTCTCTCTCTCTCGCTCTCTCTCTTTCTCTCGCGCCCACTCTCAATCTCTGTCTCAGTTCATCTCGCTCTCTCACTCTCGCTCCCTCTTTCTCGCTCTCTCGCTCTCTCGCTCACTCGCCCTCACTCTCGCTCGCGTTCTAACACCGATTTCAGGCTCCCTCGTGCACAACCGAAGACCAAATCGATTTCATCCGAAGTCACAGCTTCTATTCTCGGGCCCTTCGATATCTCGGATATTGGAGTGACGTGGAAAAACACTACGAACTACATGTTTTAATCGAGGAGTTGATCAGGTCCGGCGCGTTTCCTCTAACCATAAGCTTTTACGGTGTCTTTTGGTGTAAGCCGTACTTCCATTTTCAGGCAATCCGAAAGGATGGGCCATCGCCTCCATCCGGTCTACCTAACTGCTCGACAGGCACGATAATTTTGTGTCTCCGATCCGTGATATTTTTCAGGGCAAACAACTATGGCTGTATGTCTCTCAACCATTTGAGGGTCGCGATGCAATTTGTGATGATCGGTTTAACAGGGTCTACGGGCTTGACAAAGATGATTTTTATCTCGTGACTTTGAGAGAACGGATTGACAAGAGGATGAAGCCGGCCATTGTTAAGGTAATACTGGCCGGTCTTTGGAACTAACCCGCAAAGAGTTTCTAAAAACAGATGAAAATCCGCCAAAATGTGTCTATTAGTGTGTGTATGTATGGACATTATTATTGGCATCATTTTCCTTTTTCTTTAGCTTCCAAAGTAGCCTATCTTCAGGTGGAATTCCGAGCCCTTGCTCAGATCCTTCGCCCGATGGCTGAACGTCTTCGTTTCCTCGTAAAAGGAGGTACGTTAATCTGCGAATACCTGTTTTAAATTTTTTTTTATATTCTTAAATTCGGTGGTTCCTGCTTTCTTCTTTAAATAAACCCTGAGTTCCGAGTTTCTTTAAAAGCCTCGAATTTTCCAGAACGCACCGACCGCTACAACGAGTTCGTGCTCGGCATGACGGAACGATTCTGGCAGCAGAGGAGGCCGATCGTTTTTGAGCGCATTATTTAAAGAGATTAAGACTAATTAAAATGTGTAGGTTTGAATAAATATTTGATTTAAATTAGAACAAAAGATTGAATATAACACAGAATTTGCATAAAAATTTGGTTTAGCACTTTCACACAAGAGAATTTGCATTTCCGGGTTATCACCGGCCCTGAAAACTGACTAAGAATTTATCATATCGATCTACGCGTCATGGCCGACCAGTTGCAGGTAATTTTATGGATTTTAAACTATTCGGAATGCTAAAAAAATCATGCAAATTTATGCTGAGAATTCTAGTTTTTTAAGGAATCCCACGGCCTTCGCGAGCGCAAAAAGACGGTCCGTTTCGAGCCCGACGAGAAGCTGCCCCGGCGCAACAAGGCGATGAAGTCGAATGAGAGCGAGAAGCTCGTCCAGCCCGCTACGAATGACGGGTGGCGCGAGCAAATCGAGAGGGCATCGGGTATGGTAGTCCCTCGCTCTCGCTCTCGCTCTCTCTCACTCTCTCGCTGTCTCTCGCTCGCTCTCTCTCTCTCTCTCTCTCTCTTCCTCTCACTCTCTCACTCTCTCTGTATCGCTCTCTCTCACTAGCTCACTCTCTCACTAGCTCTCTCTCTCACTCTCTCGCTCTCTCTCTCTGGCTCTCTAACCCTCTCTTTTCCAGATGACACTACCCCGCCGATTCCGAAGGAGCTGGAGAGCGCGTGGCAGGACTTCATCTCTCACTACTTCCCCATGTCGTTTCTGCTCACCATCGGTACAGTAATTGGCGGGGGGTTACGGTAGGAAGAGGCTCAGGCTTACTTAGGTTTAGACTTAAGCTTACTTAGGCTTAGGCTCCAGGCTCTAGGCTCTTACCCTATTTCCCGACAACTTATCCAAATTTTTCGATTTTAGTCCTGCTGGGCGGCAACCTGGGCGCGTACATCTTCGCCGAGTACATCGAAAAGGACTGCTGGGTACCGTTCTTCCTCCAGCTGACCGCCTGGTTCTTCCTCCAGGCCCAAGTGATCGGCAACGCGCTCGCCGTCCAATCGCAACGACAGTACGCTACACACCTCTTTACGCTGATTTTTTCGCTTTTTAGCAAGGACTGCCCGATGTACCAGATGAATCGGCTCGGGCTGAATGGTAGAATTTTTCGGAATTTTCTGTTTCTGATCTTTCTCTCACCCTCTTGATCTCTCTCTCTCTCTCTCTCTCTCTCTCTCTCTCTCTTCTTCTACTTCTTCTTCTTCTAAAACAAACTTTTAGCGAAAAAGCTGGCCCTCAGCTCCGACCGGAAAGCGACCATCGGCACCAAGGTGTACAGGGAATGGCGCTACTGTAAGACTTGCGAAAGGTATGTCTCTCTTTCTCTCGCATTCTCTATCTGTCTGTCTCTCTCTCTCTCTCTCTCTTCAGGGTGATGCCGGTCCGTTCTGTCCACTGCTATCTATGCGGAAAGTGCACCCTCCGCAACGACCACCACTGCTACATGGTCGGCTACTGTGTGGCTGTGCAGACGCAGGTACCGTATCCAGCCCTCCTCGATAAGGTTGTTCCCTTGCAGCGCTACTTCCTGACGATGTGCTTCTACATCACGGTGATGGGGCTGTGGGGCTCGATCGTGTCGTTCAGCTACCACTGGGACGAGATTGTCTACATGACGCCGTGGGTTTGAGGCTTTGAGGTTTTTGTTCTACATTCCGGCACGATACGTTACACGTTACGGTACCGGTTCTTTAGGATCCCGGGAAAGTATTCCCGGGGAAAACAATTTTCGGCAGCCTAGTTGTATAAATTCGGATCGTTTCTAAATTTTAACTATCCTGCAAAAACCAAAAAATAAAAAAAAAAATGAAAAGCCAATCAAATCACCTTTTCAATCTAATTTCTGATTAGTTATTCAAATATAGTTAAAACTTCAAAACATCCTTTATATTGACTGGCCCGCCGGAAAAAATTGGTTCCCGGGAATATTCCCGGGATAAAAACCACGGTACCTTACAGTACGCTACAGTACGCTAGACTAAACAGCAAGCTACAATAAGCTACGGCTGGCAAGCTGGCAACCGTATCGGAGCGTAACCGAACGCTACAATACCCTGGCGATAAAGCGCTACAGTACGCAAAATAGCGTAGGCGTTCGTAAACGTAACCCCTCCCCTTTCCAGGACCTGCTGGGACGACATTGTGTACGCGTGGGGTGTGCTGTGCAGCGTTCCCGGGCAGTTGTGGCAAGATCCGGAGGGCTCGATCACACGCGCCTTCTGGGCGACTCTCTTCTACGAGAAGCCGCTCATCATCACCCTGCCCGTCACCCAGGTTGCCCTCCTCGCCGTCGTCGGCGGGATCACCTTCTTCTCACAGGGGGTACGTTTTCGCGCGTACAAATATTAAATGGCCTTTCCTCACCTACTATGTTTTTACGCCTATACATACGTATCAATTTCCTGAGAAATCTCTGCTAGTTGCCGAAACTTACTGCACTTTTTAGATCTGGAACGTGTACATCGGATTGGCCCAAAAAGAGCGTTACCACTTGGGCGGCATCGCCACCGGCGAGCAGTACCACTCGACTTTTGGTAGTTTGGCCCAGGCTTCAACTAGTAATTGTTTTTACAGTCGAACGCTTCCTGTTCATGTTCGGGTCGAATTTCCCGCTCGGGCTGCTCTGGCCGATGAAGTGGGAGGAAGTCGAGTGGAGCGGAAAGTTTATCGTACGTTGTTTTTGGTGTTCGACTCCGCGGCTAACAACAAAACAAAACACGCGTCAGTAAAGTTTTCGAGCTAACTCGCGCCAGCCGCCAATTTATGGGTCTAAGCATCCTAAGCTAAATAAGCAAAGCCTAGGCGGAAAACAAGTTAAATCCAAGATTACTAACCGCACTAATAAGTTTTACAAACGATTCACCCACTCTCAATCATGCACCCCCTAGGACTCGGTGCTGCTACATCCGCTGATCGCCGACGAGGACATTACCGAAGTGACCGACGACGCCGGCCAATCGACAGAAGCCTAATAACCCTCTCCCAGCACTCCCCGTTCTTTTTTTTTGTTCCCCCAACCCCTACCGCACACTTGTATTCACCCCGTTTTTTGGGCGGGCACGCGGGTTTTACCGCCGGTTTTTCTGTCAATAAAGTGTTGGTTGTACGCGCGCAAATGCAAAAACTATCAGCTCTAACAAGGCGACTTTTTTAGTGTCCACTGGAGTTTTGAAATGGGACCAAGCCTATTTTGCGCTGATTAAAACGTACTTTTCAGTTTTAAAACCGAAACGGCCATATTTTAAAAGTTACGGCGCTTTTAGGGGCGAAAAACCGCCAAAGTCGGGCTATTTTCGGCATTTTTTGCACTTTAAAGCATCAAAACTTTTCAAAAACGGTGGTTTCGCAGATTTTGAAAAGTGCGTTTTGATCAGCGAAAAATTCTGCACAAAATAGGCTTGGTCAGTTCGAAACTCGGTGGACACTAAAAATGCTCCTTGTAAGCTTTATAAAACCTGCCGCCAAGTTTGCCAAAAATAAAAGCGACTTTCAACGCCAAACCTTGTCAAAAGAGGCCATAAAGGCGAAAAACAAACATTTTCAATCGATTTATTCGCAACTAACGAGGATAAACGGAAACGGAAACAACAAGTAACGGAAAGAAGGAGAAGAAATTTTGAAGAAGAAGAAGAAAAAGTAAAGAATTCTGAGGGGATAAAGTTTTCGTATATCTATTTTGCAGGGGTCAGTGTAACGGGACGACATGTAGAAAATTGTATGCTAGGAAAACGGGAACTGGGGAAAGGTAGAAAAAAGGTAGTCCTAACGCCGGCTCACCTTATCCGTAAACATAGTAAAATGAAAAGCTCCAACTCTCCAATGCAGAGAAATACCATCAGAACGCTTGACATCCTGATAAGCTCCGAGACTTGTAGATATGTCGTCGACTTCAAAAGAACCGACAAGGTTCGCGTCCATGGTGATATTAATTAAGAATCGGTTACGTTCGAAGGAAATCCACCGTTCGTAGAGCTTCTGGCACATGGCTTCGAGCTGTGAAGTGACATTCTTTCCGCCCGTGTCCAGCCTGAACTCCAGCCCAACAAAGTCCCAATCCGGAATGTAGCTCAACCATTCGACTGACAACGTTCCAAGCCGGAGACGCCTTACTTCCTTCAGCGCTAGAGGCCATTCGGTGCTGAGTGCCGAGCTGAAGGCTTCAGCATCCCAGCCCAGGAAGTATATGTGGGCCGGCTTCCATTTCCTGATCAGTTCCGCGCACCGGTGAGCGCTTCGCTAGGCCGGGGAAAGTACCCGGGAACCAAATTGTTCGGCGAAAGCCTAGATGTATAAATGCGGAGCGCTAAATTGTTAACTATCGGCAAAAAACAAACAATAACAAAAATGTAAAATTAAAAATTAGGTCAAAAATAGACCAAAATGACCAAATTTTCGACTTCAAACATTTTCTAAATTCTGAAAGTTATTGCTTTAATATAGTTAAAACTACTAAACAACGAAAACACTTATATTTGAACTAGGTCAACGGGACCACCAGGAAAATTTGTTTCCGGAGAACAAAGAACCCGTCTTTCTGATATCCATTAAACGTCAGGTTGTGGATTGTCCCATCGGGTGTAATATTTGTCTGCACGTCGTACGCGATCACTGAATGCACATGGGCGCCTGATAATAAAACCTCGGCCTCAACGTGTGTTCGGATCGGGCCGCGTTGGTTTCCGGGCCAAGTACCGGAATTTGCCCAGAAAACGACCCCTTCAGAAAGCCACTCCACGGTATCGAAACGCTTGTTCTTCAGGTTTCTGGTCGCCCGCAAAAGATTGGGATGGCATTTGGCCAGTGCTAGCAGCTCTTTTTCACCGAGCGGCTCCATGATTTTCCATAGGAGTTCGTAGGGGAGTTCGTAAATCTCCTTTTGGAATCGAGCGTCCATCAAAAGAATCTTAGCTTCTTTGGCAGTGAACTGTTCGTAGTCGATGATTGCAGAGCGCCGGGTACGATAAACCATCTGCCAATCCTTGCCGGGCCAACGGTCAACGTGCTTTTGGAGCACTGGGTGAGCATTCGCCGTCTCGAGCAGGCTGCGGGCATCCAACGGTCCAAACACTTCATGCATCAGGTTGGGCGGCAGATCGAGCAACGTCTTCACGGCGACGTCTTCAACTTTGCGGCGCTTGGCGCTGGGTGAATGCGGCTCCTCGGAAAGATCGGTGGCCATTTTACCTGAAAATGGGTGGCGTTTTTTGGAAAGGTCAGCGAGCTTTAAAAACGAGAGCGAAAACGAGCTTCATTAATGCGTTTCTATGCAATTTTGACTCCAAGATTTTCGCCAAAACCGAATCGAAAGTTCCGGCGTCGCGACATAGATACGCGCTTTGACAAAAATGAAATTACGGGCCCGAGTAAGCTGTCCGGAAGTACGTTTTGTCCCAGCGAAGAGATTTCTCTGCTTGAAGTGTGCAATTGTGTGAAATACTGTTTTTTAACGTGTAAAATTTTATTCTCAACGTGAAAAATGGTAAAAATCAAACGAACAAAATAAGAATCATATCAAAGACATCACAAATCTACCCGGAATTAGATAAAACAACTTTTAGAAACTGGGAGCAGTCGGCTTCAGCTTGAAACGAAGAGATTTTTCTATATATGTCGATGCTTCACGGGTAGTCGTCGACGTACTCCAGCCCATCGTCCCTAAACAAAACAATAAAAAAAATACGGAAATGAAATTTACCAATCAGCAGGAGTTTCCGTTTGGCTTGCTGCCGCTTGGTCACCAACCTCTTGCGACGCATTTTCGTTTCTAAAAACCATCAAAAGCACCAAAATTTTCCCGATTAAAAGTAGATTAAATTGACGCTTAAACTATTACAGCCATATTAAAATATCAAAATAAAGAAAGAAATGGAGTCGCTAATACAATTCGACCCAATGCTTACCCTTGTGCCATCGAGGGCGGTTTCTGTGGCCGGGGGTCGTGGAGCACGAAGGTGGGCATCCGGGCCGGCGGCTTGTAGTTCACCCAGACTCTTTGATCTCTAGAAACAGTGATAGTTTTTGAAAAATGCTTTCCCATACCTTCCCGCTGCCTTGAACTCGAACCTCACGACATATCGGGCGCCATCTTTCATCCGTTTTTCGCGCGCTTCCGGGGTCTCGATGGTCAGTTTGTGCCTCCTAGACAAGAAAAATATTGCTTGGAATAAATTATCCAATTGCTTCATCAAAATTAATTTCTACGCTTGTGATTGAATAGTCAATAACTCAAATTTGAAGCTTTTGGATAGTAAATAAGATCATATTTAAAAATCGGCTACAAAAATTCTGTGAGAAACTGACCACCAAATCGCCAATCGCCTCTTTAATTCGGCATGTTGCCGTGCAGCATCATCCATTGGCGGGTAGCTGGGGATCGGTGGCTTTGTAGCAGTGCCTACCGCGAATTTGATCTGACCGGGCACGCTAAATCGGGCATTTTTGATGAAATCAAATAAAAATCGAGGTAACACATTTTTTCGGTGCTTTCCCATTATCGGGGGGGGGGCGGAAGGGTCATGGACAGTTATAATTTTTTCCTACCAATTTTAATAGGCTGCTCCGTAAAATGTAGCTATATTTCATTTCAACTTGACAATTTTAGTCCTAAAATACAGGTTATTGGCTTTGTTGATATTAGAAAAATTCGAGTCAAAGGAACAAATTCGCCTCCCCCGATAATGCAACAGCACCAGGGTTTTCCACTCACCTTTGATCGAACTGGAAGCCCGGTCGTGCCGCAAAATAACGGACGACGCCGCCGCTTTCTTGTTTCACGACGCAGCAGCGGTTCCTAAAACGAAACGGTAACCCAAAAGCGTAAAACGACGCACCCGGAAGGTTTTTTCCGGGGCGCTGGCGGCGCGGCGTTCGCGTCCATCGCAACCTTCTTCTTCCGTGGCCTGTAAAATAAAAACTACTCTTTTTTTTGCAGGGGGAAATACCTGCCATAAACCGCGATCCGGCGCTCCATGAGCCCCGCGATTTCGTCTGGCAAATCTGGGTACCGGTTCTGAGGCGCTGGGGGGTTTTCCGGTGCACTGTCGCCAACCGTTGAGGGGCCGGCAGGCCTGGAAACTTTAGATTTACAAATTTCGTCCTCTCAAACCATACTCTTGATTGGAATCGGCCGGCGAAGGCGCGGACGAGCCCTCAGCTTCCGGGTTTTCGATGGGCTGCCTAAAGAAACTATTTTGCAGCTGCTAAAAAATACTTACAACTTCACGACTTGTTCTTTACTGGGATCAGCAGGGATCGGTCGCGAGACAACCCTAAAAATGACGTTTTAACGTTTTAAAAATGATGATTTCGGATTCTCGAGCGGGACCAGCTTTTTCGCCAAGCTCCTGCTATCGTAGTCGCCTTCAAGTGGAAAATTAACCATGAAAAACCTCAAAAAAGTGAAGATTGAGGTTAAAAATCGCCTGACCTAGTCGAAAAATCAGAATTTTTTTTATTTTTTCGATCGAATATTTCGTTTTCGCGCCGAAGAACAATCCAAACTAGTCCAGAAAAAAGTTGGGTATGTCCCCGCAATATCAAATCACTGTTAAAATTACCGAAAAAACTTACGGATTCAATCCAATCAAGCGCCGCACCTCCGCCACCAACCGCACCCTGAACTCTTCAACCTCTTCCGCCGGCTCTTTTCTACAATAATCTTTTATAGCATTAAAAATGACCAAACTGGATGGCCGATATCTCGCGACTTCTGGCCCGAAACCATTTCCGGTACCTTCCCTTGGCCTCGCGAATTTCCCTCGCCGCTTGTTTTCGCTGATATTCCTCCGGGTTCCGCTTGAACATCCTAAAAAAACCGTCAGAAACAAAGCGGCAGATTACGCACTTTAGCCTGTGTTGTTCCTTTCTGTACTCTTTCTCTTCAGCGGTCTCCTCGGCGGCTCTTACTTTTCTGCAGAAAACGGGTACACTAGACAAGTAAGAAACGGAGACATACCTAGCGATCCGTCTGCGCTCAATTTCGGCTTCGGTCAATGGCCCGCCCACCCTAAAAATAATCCGTTTTCTCATTCAGTCAATTTAACAAGATTCAGCTTTTCCGAATACACGCCCAACAACCCACCTCTTCTTCCTCGGCTTCCCTTCCTGGTTCCGGCGTCTAAAAAGAAGCTCAGAAAAAAGAGAGCTGCTTACCCCCACTCGCGTTGGTGCGCCAGCCGCTCTTCGCGCTGTTCCGGGCGTCTCCATTTGCTTTTTGAGAAGTCTAAAAAAAGAATAACGATAATGTTCATCGCTACGCCTTTTTGAGGCTAAAAACGCACCTTTTTTCGTATTCAGCCGCCTTGCGTAGTGCGCGTTCCTCCGGCGTGTAGCGTAGCTTTTCTTCTTCACTGAAAAAAGAAATCTGTCTAGCTACCGGATGCGTAGTTGCCATAGAATCGGGCAAAATCGCTTACTGCCATCTACGGTAGATGGCCCACCAGCGCAGTTTTCGGTCTTCTTCGGTTTCGCCGGGCAGTAGACGAGCCCTGATAGAAAATATGATCGAAAATCAAGGGGATAAACCTGTATTCCCTCATATGTTCGCGCTTCTTTTTCAGGGCCTCTTCACGGGACAATTTTGGACCCGTAGTTCTTCGCTTTCTCTTTGCGGGCCGTTTTGACGAAGTCGATGGACGATCGGGCTCATCAGAAAACTCGGAAGCGTCGCTGACCTGGCCCGATTCCATGTCCATAGTGGTACTAAAATCTAGGTATTGGAAAAGCTCATCAAATCGTCGTTTTTAGGTGTTTTTACGCCTAAATTCTTTCGAATTCCTAAATCTCTCGGATTCCAAGAACTCCAAACGAAGGATGGCTAGTTTTAGAACCCAATGGAAACCGCAGCGTTTTAGAAATACTAAAAATACACTTTAAGGTTCTATTCTATTTCGCGTGGGGGAAAAATTGTGCGGGGGGGAATATGCTTCGCGGAACCTTGATCTTTTCGCTATTTTCTCGGGATTTTTGCAACGCCATTCGATAGAGCATCAAAAAATATACTAAGAGTTCTTGTTTTAGCTAAAAATATCAACTATAATAATTTTGCTGTGGTCTCTGTCTGTCCGTCCGAAGCCGAATTCAACTCGAAGGGGAAAGGAGCTAGAGCTTAGCTCTCTTCGGATTCGGATAGAGCGCCGTCAGAAACCCCCAAACTGATAAAAAAATTATGAAAAACTTTTAGTTAAAATTATTAAAATTAACTTTGAAAGTTTTTTTCCTTAGTAAAAGGGGTGGGGACGGAGGTTGTGGTGATTTTGGACATAGTGAGCCAGGTGGCGCGCGTTTCGTGGATGAAAATTTTCACGGGATTTCATTTCTTTTTCTCTCATTCCATCCGTCGGTCGTTATTTTTGTTTTAAGGGATTTCGGCTACGGAGGTGTCTTAAACCATCAGGAAGGTATTTAGGTAGTTTTGAAGGGATTTCAGCCATGGGGGTACTGAAGCCATCAGGAAGGTATTAGGTAGTTTTGAAGGGGATCTCAGCCATGGGGGGTATCTGAAGCCATCGGGAAGGTATTTAAGTAGTTTTTGAACGGGATTTCGGCCATGGGGGGTATCTGAAGCCATCGGGAAGGTATTTAGGTAGTTTTTGAACGGGATTTCGGCTATGGGGGGTATTGATGGAGGAGGCAAAGGATGTGGTGGAGGAGACATGTAGGGTAGCCCGAAGGCCAGATGGTTGCAGTCGCGAAGCGACTGCAACCATCTGGTTGAAATATAAAAAATTTATAGCAAAAACAAAAAAAACTATTGGAACCGGTTCCAGAATGTTAGTTTTCGGCATTTTCGCCATTTTTTCGTTATTTTGAACCCGTCATTCGATAGAGCGTCAAAAAATATACTAAGAGTTTAAACCTCATCTATAAAAAAAAGGTTTTATAAAATAGTTATAGCAAAAACAAGGTTTATTCGGTGATTCCACATGGGATCGTGGAGCCGAAAGCTAGTTGTCGACATTTTCAATAACTTTCAAATATTTCTTTAATGCCATTCGATAGAGCGTCAAAAAATATACTAAGAGTTTTAATGACAACTCAAAATAGCATCATATAAAAGAGTTATAACAAAACGAAGAAAATCCCCCCCCGCACAGTTTTTTCCCCCACGCGAAATAGAACAGTACCCACTTTAAAAACACACCTTCTCGCATCATCGTTGAAGCTGTCGTTTGATTCACCGGTTGCCGCTCGGGCTTTCCTTCTGGTGAGCATCGCCACGCGTTTCAAGGCGATCGAAGAGTGGTTACTGTAAAATCGAAAACTTGCTAAAGCTTTAATGCTAAAAAATTGCTAAAGAAGCGCATAAGAGTTTTGTAAACCCAAATCCGTCAAAATTCCAGGTTTGCCAAAGTCAATCACAGCTGCGTCCGCGATCCCTTTTCCTTATTTCCCGGTAGTTGGCGCGTCGCGGCTCGCCCGCGTGTCTACTTCAGGGGTTCTGGCCCGCGAGCGATTTGATCTTGTTACGCTCTAAGGAAATCAGATGTGAATGCGGTGTAATTTACCGTATAAAAAACCTCTAGAAATACAAACAATCTTTATTCGACAACGTTTAAAACACATAAGTACCCGAAAGCGAGATAACAACGTGAAAAATGCGCGAGCAAGACAATGAACGTAGAATTTTAAGAATAGAAATGAACGAGTTTATGTGGAGGTCGAGGGGCCGGCAGCGTCTTCAGTATAGTCCAGCCCATCGTCCCTAAACAGAAAAACGTTAATAAATTCATTTCAAACGCTACCAAACAGGCCCGTCGTCATGCATTTCTGGTTGAGCATCACCAGCAGGATGTTGGTAGGAACTAAAAAGAATATGGCTACGTCAAAATCAGTAAAAAGCGTACTTTGGATCTGTCGGGTCAATGATCGTCGGCGGTTTCTTGCCCCGTGGCTCGTCGTTGGCTTCATATTTGGGCACGTGCTCTGGCTTTTTGTAGACGATTCGAACTGTGGCGTATTCTCTGGAATCAGAAATAATAGTAATAAAACCATATAATAATTAAACCCGCAGTTATTTTAGGCTATTTAAAAAACTTACATTCCCTCTTTGCCCTTGAACGTCACGCAGTAACGGGCGCCATGTAGCATCCGATGTTCCCGAGCTTCTGGCGTTTCCGTGGCCTGCTTGTGCGCCCTGGAACAATTAAATTAAGTTAATTCACGCTTCCCAGTTAATCAACACCAAAAATTACAAAGACCCACCACCACCTAGCCACCCGGCACCGAACTTCCCGCTGTCGCCGTTGCGCCTCTGCGTGCGGGGCAGCAGCCTCTTGGGCAGCTTTGGCTGCGTCGATTTTTGCCTGCTTCTTGGCCGCCCTATAAACACAACACATACAATTATAATGAAGATAAAAACATACTGTTGAGCAGGCCTGGGAATATGACGGGCCGGCCCGGGCCGGCCCGGGCCGGCCCGGGCCGGGCCGGGCCAGGGCCGAGATTTTCGGATTTTTGGGCTGGCGGGCCGGCCCGGGCCGGCCCGTCACAAAGCGCGGGCCGGCCCGGGCCGGCCCGGGCCGGCCCGCCATTCTTGGAAGAGTAACAATTATGTTTAATTTTCGGAAACTTAGCGTATAAAAGTGTCTCTGCGCCCATATATATGTGATGATGTCTGGTGTCATTTAAAGCAAACAAGGGATTTCAACGACGGCGTGAAGAAATTGATCAGGGTTCAATTCTGGGCGAGCTAACTTTTTGCTTTCGTTTTCACATTATGACATGCTTGCTATCTGACCCGTTAATTTCCTGGAACAACGAATTTGAAATCGGTCGAGTTCTCAAACGTCAAAGATAATGCTCGGAAAAGCTCGGGTTTTGCTCGGGACCTTTCCGTTGGGTGGCGGGTTCGCGTTCCGAGTCGCTCCGCGGCGCAATTGACTCTGTGCGTCCGCGACATCCCCCGAGAAGGTCCTTTCTCCCTTTCTCTCCCTTTCTCCATCTCCCTTTTCCCATTCCCACTTTTCTGCTGGTTTTTCTTTAAACAATTACTTTCTATTTTAAAATGAAGTTCTTTCAGTACAAATGGGTGATAACGACGACAACCAGAATGAGTTGACCATCTCGGCTCGGAAACGGAAGAAACCAGAAGTTTTCTTCACCGTCGAGGAAATTACGATGATTATGGAAAAAGAGCCCGGTCGCGTAAAAACGGTAATTAGAGTAGACGATATAAAAAGGTTTTTCTAGGGCGAGACTTATCACGGGGCGGTTGCGCTGATGATTGAATCCGACGGCGAGTTCAAGAACAGCGGCTTTGTTCGATGTGAGAAATGCAAGCTGATGATGACAGGCGCTGGCGGTCATGTCAAGTAAGATAAAAGTCAATTAACAATGTAAATTTTTCAGGAGACATTGTGAGAAGTGTCATAAAACCGTTTTCAAAGGATGTACGACCCAAAAAGAGATCGATGGTTAGTGAACTAGATAGGTTTCTCAAATTCTGTGTATTTTAGCGTTTTTCACGAGCAAAACGCCGCCCAAACGAAAAGTGCCCGAGCGTACCAGGATCACCACGATCTTAGCCGATTATCTGCAAAAGACTGGCGCCTCGTTTGCCTCGGTTGAGAGCACACCTTTCCGGGAGATGGTAATGGCATTGATTAACATCGGGTAATTTGATAAGAGTTTTTTGAAAATTTTCTTTAGGGGTGAGTATGACCCAGAAGAGCTAGAAAAGATCCTTCCTTGCCGCAAAACTGTGAAAGCAAAGTTCGTTGAAAATACGCAGCGTTTGATGGAGCCGTATAAGGGACAGGTGTGTTTCTTAGCATAATTTTCCTAGTGTTTGTTTTTAGCTTCTGGCGGCCGCTGAAGAAGGTCGTCTCAGTCTGATGGCAGATTACGGGTTTTTCTATGGGAACTACCTCAGTTTATTCTACAGTTATGTAGACGCCGACTATAAAACGGTCGTAATTCCGGCGGCTATCAAGATCTGTGCAAAGCCACAAGACTATAATGCAGTAAGCCAATTTGTCAAGCTTTCGATTTTTCAATTTAGGTTTTTGACACATTCGTCGAGATCGCAGCCGACCATGGCCTTCAGCGCGCGCACCTTCGCAAAGCCCAGCTCGTTGCCGACGGAGCCGCCTACTTCAAGAAATGCGGACAAGTGCTAATGGGAGGATGTATGCTAGTTCTTTAAACGTAAAACCTCAATTTAGACATCCGATGCGCCACGCACGGGCTTCACATCATAAGCCAACATGCGACTCGGCCCTACGCAGCGCATCGGCTACACTTCGATGTGGGCGAGATGGAGATTCTGGCCAAATATGACGAAGCCCTGAAGCTGGCGAGCGATCTCGCCCGTCTTATCCGCACTTTGCCGCAGGTGTGTAGAAATCTAAATGCACTTGAACTGGTTTTTTAGGTCTTGCAAATAACGGCAAAGAAGCCCTCGATCGGCGTCGAGACACGTTGGCTCTCTCGCCTCGAATGTATTCAAGATCTGATGGGAATGCGAAGCCGATTGCTGGACGCAAAAAAGCTCGGCGGCGAGACGTTCGCTAACCTGCTGACCAGCTTCATCGATATGGAAACGACTTACGAGGAGTATTGTCAAATGATGTCCCCACTTGCATCCGGGGTAAAACTCTTCCAGGTTCGACAGCCCTCTTGCGTCTAATTTCTTCTTTAGGCGACTCATACAACCTATATTGAGTGGGTGTGTCCCACTTACCTTATGATCGTGGAAAAATGTGAAGAAATAATAGAAGCCCCGTCGAGCAAGGTTTGCCATCTTTGGCCTCTATAAATGAGCTTTTAGGAAATTGCCGTCCTTGGCAAAGCGGTCCGTTTTGCCGCCAAGCAGCAAATCTCTGAACTCTCACCACTGCACTACGCCGCAATGCTGCTTTCCCCGTCCTTGCGCAAAATGCGACACGTTGATTCCGCTAAAATAGAAGAGGTAAGTCACCTGTCCCATTTTTTCCAAAGTATTCTGTAGGCCAAGGACTTTATCTGCTCATCTGATCTGCAACATATCCCGGGCGGCGCTCACGGAGATGCCGACGTATCCGCGCTACTCCCCGAATTTTTCTCCACGTTGGCCGACTTGTCTACCGATTCCGACGGTGATGTTGATATCCGCTCCGAGCTGACCCAATTTCTCAACACCAAAATTTCCACGAAACTAACCGCTTCTCAATATTGGCTCGAGAATGCTTCGACGTTCCCCCGTCTGTACCTGGTTTCAAAAATGGTATTTTCCACATTTCCATCGGAAGCCCTTTGCGAGCGCGCTTTCTCGATTTTGAAAAATGTGATCCACAAGAACCGTTTAAGCTTATCCGATCAGTCTGCCGCGGAAATCATGTACGCCCGAATGTTCCATCTCTTGACTGTCTCCACCCCCTGATTATTAGAATTTTATGCTCCTTATCGCCCCTTGTTGTTAAAGAATTTGTTTGTTCCATCTCTTGCTTGCCACCAAACCCCCCTGTTTTGTAGCATTTTATGCTCCTTATCCCCCCTTGTTGTCCTAAATTGTTGATTTTTGCGAAATAAATCTATTATTCCTTTCATTTATCATTATTCTCAGAATTTTGCACTATAGTTATCTGGGAATCGGACTTTAGTGGCTTAGGCGAAGAACCATCTCCTCTCGCACCACTTCGCTAAATTTGGGAACAGGGTGATTTGTGTGTTTACCAAAAAGGGCCCAAACCGCGGGCCGGCCCGGGCCGGCCCGGGCCGGCCCGGGCCGCGGGCCGAAAAATTGGCTGCGGGCCGGCCCGGGCCGGGCCGGGCCGGGCCGAGAAAAATGGGCTGGCGGGCCGGCCCGGGCCGGCCCGGGCCGGCCCATTCCCAGGCCTGCTGTTGAGCTTGCTTGGCCTGCACTCGGATTTGATGTTCCTCGAGCGTCTCATTCGGGTCCACCTTGCATGTTCGCTTCTTTTTCTTCCTAAACCCAAATTATTGACAGGCGTAAACTACAACTGACGGCGGTTGATCCTCCGGCGCTTCCGCTTCAAGCTTCTTCTTGGCCTCCCTAGAACCAAAGGTAAAATCTAGAAACTGCCCTCTTACAGCTCTCTTTGCCTTCTTCTGAATCTCTGCGCCCGTTCTACCAATAACCTTCGTTCGCGCGCTTCCGGCGTCTCGATTTGTCGTCGAACATAACCAGAAAAAGTTAGCACTAGAGAAAATTGTTCTTTTGCATTATCCGAGGGGAAACGAACTTTATCTAACGTTCGAATTTTTCTAATAGGAATTTAGCGTTTTTTAACATCCCTAAACGTAAAACTACAAGTTTTGAAAAACAAATACAAAAAAAAACATCGCTGTCCTACCAAAATTGGCTTCCCTCCGACCGTAATTTCACCTAAAAAATCGTTTCGACGTTTTATGATTGACTTTTCCGCTTGAAATATGGTAAATTGAATTAAAACTCTATTAAAAACCCACATTACGTTACAAGGAATTTTATGGACTGATCGGAAATGTTGCGAAAGCACCGAGAAAACTCTGCCAGCTTTCGTCAAAAACATACCTGCGCTCGAGCTGTCGCTGTCGAAGCTCCAGGCTGAAAAACGTGTAAGCTAGAGAATATTTGCGTAGATACTCACTGTTTATCTGGAAAGCGTTCCTTATACGTTCTTGCCCATTCCGCTCTTTTCTTGCGGCACTCCTCTTTTTGCCTAAATAAAAATTAGTAACAAAACACGGGAGTTTACCTTCTAGTCTGGACTTTTCTTTTGGCCTCAGCCCGCTCCTCGGGCGTCATCCGGGCCCATCTCTCGGCTCTGAAAACGAAAAATCAAAATTACAAGCGCAAACGCTAACCGCCATCTAGCATGAATCAGTCGCCAGCGTTCTTTTCGATCTTCAGGAGTTTCGCCCTCGAGTAGACGCGCCCTGGAATATCAATAAATTGGATAACGGGTAAATTCTTCTTTCGGATTATCGTGGTCGGCCTATTTTAAATGACTATTACGTACTAATAAATGTTTTAGTAGTGTCTTTAGTAAAATTTAGCTAAATTTCAAGCGGAAAAGTTATCTAATCTAACATTTTTTGAGAATTTAGGCGAGGCTTGGGTCGAAAATTTACTTTTTTTGATTCTGAACAAAAATTTGGAGGTTTTGCTGTTCGGAATAATAAAAAGAAAAAGAATAGAAAAACCTCCTCTTTTTAAATTAGAAAAAATTAATTTAGAAAAAAGGGGGAGAGGGGTATCGATTAGGACCCCGATAAAGCGAAAGTACCGGATAAATTCTCATTACTCATCATACCTCAATGCCCTCATTCGTTCGCGCTTCCTTTTCAGCTCTTTTTCCCGTGACTTTGGGCTCAAGGACCTTCGCTTGCGCTTTCCCTTTGAAGTCGAAGGGCCATCGGGGTCATCAGAACCTCGGTCGTCGTCGTCGTCGCTGAACTCGGCAGGTTCCAAGTCCGAGTTCCTTCTAAAGAACCTCTTGATTTCGATCCAGATAAGAAAAGCTAAACAAAACAAATTGTAATTTGCAACGTACTCTTGCTTGTTTTTGAGGGAGCTTTCAGCCGGTTCCTTGACGCTCTCGCTCGGCTCACCCATCTCGGCTCGAGCCTGTCTTCGCGTGCGCATCGTTCTTCCGATTCTAAAGAAGATTTTTTGGATCTTATATAATCTATTTTTAAAAAACTGAACCGAATTAATTCGGCCCTGACAAACACGGCATACCACTGCTGGCCCGCTTGCCTTTTTCTGCTCGCCTACGAAGTGCGCCTATTCACAAGGGGAGTTAGACCGCCAATAAAAAACCACAGAAAAACGCCAATAAAAACCACAGAAAATAACAAAGCTAAATCCCGCCGATTCCCTGATTAAAACAGTAAATATAAATAATTGAATTCAAATAGAATTCCGCGTCTAACGTGTCTGTCTGAATTTTGTTTTCTATTCCAGAAATGGCAGCAAATCTTTATAAACCCGAAAATCAAAATCAACGGCAGTTCAGAAGCAAATTATCACAACTCCGCTTGGCAACCCTGGTGTAGAGAAAGTAAGAATTATCAAAACAACATTACAACGAGATAAGTAGACGTAAAGTTACAAACTTTGGAATCGTGAAAAAGAAATAAACAAAGCAAATGATAAGTTAATTTGCGATAGATTCGGGAGACTGTAATCAAAGACAACGCTGTAGTTCAAGACTTCTTATTCTTCATCCGCGTAGATTAGCCCGTCATCTTCTCTAAAAAAACAAAAGAAGTTAAAAAACGGGATTCAACGAACTCTGGCGTGTAGCGCTGTAACTCTTCCGGCTTCTTCTCGCCCATTCTTTGCTGTGCGACCCTCGCCCATCGCTCCATTTTCGATTCTGCGGCTGTTAAGACACTGAAAAAGGGTTCTTCAAAACCGTAACAAACCGCTATTAAGATTCTATAAAAATCTTGTCACTTACAAAGTATCATCGGGTTTCCTAATCGGTGCCAGGAAGCACTTTGCTATTTCTTCTTTGTCAATGGCGATCTTGACAAAATAGTCATCTCCAGGGCTCCTAAAACTATTAGATTAATTGACAAAATTTTGGGTGGCTACCTCTTTTTTTCGACGGGATTCAGGAGCTCATTTTTCGGCAGGCTGATCCCAAATTCCTGCGGGTGGAGGGCTCTAAAAATGGAATCTTCCTAGCCAGAGTAAATCATACTTTATGAAGCAGTCCTTGATTTCTTTGCTATTCAGATCAATGCCGACAAAGTTGACGTTTCTCCATTTTCTAGAGTACAATGTTTTCTTTAATTTGATAGCTTTAAAGCAACCTTAATCTTTCGATCTTTTCCTGTCTGTCTTGTTCCTTCTGTCGATCTTGCACCCCCCTCTTGGCGATGTCGTTCAGCACTTTGTGACAATAGTCGGCATCCAGAATTGGACGCCGAGTTCGAGCAGTCGGAGTCGGTCCGACTCGTCGTATTACTTTTGAAGTCAACGGATCGAGCAGGCGGTCCTGGCTCTTTTGATCCAGACCCTTGCCCCATTCCTGCATCACGGGCTTCACGATGGCTTCCTGGCTTCTAAAGAATGTAAGTTATTTTGGTTCTTTTGCATTAACGGGGGACCAACTTTTTCTATAAATCTAGAAACGGCTAGTAACGCAATATTAAGGGTTTTAATACTGTTTTAATACGTAATATAAAGAAAATTATAACTATAGTTGAAGTGGAAAAGCAATTAAAAAAACCTAGCAAATTTTGTCCTTGACATTTTGGTCGAAAATTGATGATTTTTCGTCGAAAAAATCGCCCAATGATAATCGAAAGAATCGTTATTTTTCTACAATTTCTATCATTGGAAACAACATCGTAGAGAAATAAAAAAAATACATTTTTGGGTCCTTCCGCGACTTCTGCTCGTACTGCGAAGCGTAGGGAGCGCAGGGAACTTTCCTCCGCCTGGAAAAACGGCAAATAATTGTCAGATGCAACCATGCAAGCCTTACCATGCAACAAACTTGTTAATCCGAGCTAGCCTTGCGTACTCGATGCTTGTAAGCGGAACACGTCTGTGTTCTGGCTGTCTTGGCGGCTTTGGTGCTTCGCGAAAATCATCCACAGCTGGCAGCTCCGGAAGCGACGAAATGGACGGAATTGTTTTTGACGTCGAGGGACCTTCCAATGCGTCCATTGGTGTCCATTCCCCGATTTGCTCACTAAAATCGAGGATTATTTCCGGAAATTCACAAGTTACAGCTCATCCGCCTCGATTTTGATCTGGATGGGTAATGTCCGCTTTTTAGGAGGGCTAGCCATATTCCTAAAACAGAAAAATATTCTTCAAAGCTAATAACCTACAAATCAAAAGCTTCAGGTTTCGGCACCACCAGCTTCGCCGTCGCATTGAGTTGAAGGCTAGCGGTACTGAAAAAAATAATAGGATAAGGTGCATGACATCCTGTTAATTTCAGTATATGAAAAATTTAATGCTTACCTCGCCGGGGGGAAAGTGCCGCTTGTAGAAGGCGGATACGTACGGAATTCAGCTTCAACAGCAGGCTCGGGAAGGTAGCTAGAAGATTTGAAATCAAGGAAGCAAAATTTCACTTACGAATTTTTCGGTTCGAACGACGAATTTAATTTTCCCTCGTAGCCCACGCCGATACGCGTTTTTCTGAAAAAATTTTAACCGTTTTAAAACATAAAAAACTGACGCTATGCCGCTTTTGATGCGTGGCCTTCGACGATCCGGCGGCTTCAACTCCCACAGACGTTCTTCGAGCGTCTCTTGTCGCCGAGCCGATATCCTAAATAAGGTTTGTTCATGTTAGAAACTAAAACTAAATAAATTTCTAGAAAGGCCTCTAAACTTCTAAATAAGCATGACTTACTTGGGAGCGCCAACGTCGTCGATTCCGTTTTGCGGCCCGTACATTCTCAAATCTTCGTAATCTTCCGGGTCCGCGCAAGTTTCACTGAAAAAAAAACGATAAAAACTTTACATTAAGAATCTTTCGATGTAATAATCAATTCCTGCAATAGTCTTTTCGGTTTGTTTCGAACGAGTTTCAAAGTTTCAAGTTTCAAAACCAATAATTTTCGTTTTTCTAATTCGGAAAAATCTTTCCGATAACATTTTTGCTAATTATTTTCTTTTCACTTTTCATGTAGCTGATTGTAAGCAGTTTTTCAACAAGTTAGGCGTAATTTGTTTTGATTCAAAGAATCAATAGAAATACATTTATCATAGATCAACAACGTTAAAACAACAATCACAACAAATTTTTGAGGCTCAAGATTTTCGGGTCTTGCTTTTTTTGACCGGCGATGGGGAGTTTTGGCAGCTTTAGTCGCGCCACGCTTTCGCGTTGGCTTGCTGGAGGAAGCTGAAGTGGAGTTCGTGGCTTTATCTGCGCTTCGAAGCTTTTGTAGAATATTCTCAAGCTCTTCGTTGGCGTTTTTATGAACTGGGCCGGGTTTTGATCGCTTCAGAAGCGTGAGAAGCGCTTGAGCGTTCTAAATTGGAGATGCTATTTACCAGCAACAATATTACTTTAATCGCCATTTCACGATGTTTCGCCTCTTCAGGCTTTTCCTGGTTGCCGGTTTTCGGTTTTCCCGGGGTTCGAAGGGGAACTTCCGGTGCGGTAGGTAAATCACTGTAAAACAGCTTATCCTAAAAAATTTTTAAAACATACCTAGGATCGTTTAGCGGCGTGTCGTCATAAAAATCTCCCGTATCCGCCGGGATCGTAGAATCGAATTTCGGAGCATGGAAGTGGTGAGTGCAATACTTTACAGCCATCTTCCCGTCATCCAGTTTTCTTACCTAGAAAATCATTTTGCGTCTGATTTTCCGCAGGGCACCCACGTTCAGAAAAGCGGTGCAATATTCCGGCTCCTTCGACTCGGCTCCCTTTTTTCGGGCCTTCGAGATGCCCGTCGATTCCACTTTACACCGGTAGCGGCGGCTGATGTCGTCAGAATCCCGAACTTGAAAGCTGGAGTCGGCTCGAGTTTCCAGCTCGTCGAACCATAGCCGGAAAGCATCCTCCGATTCGAGTGTGGCCTTTTCCAGAGTGGCCCTGGAAGGAATTGGCTTGCAACAGGCAGCTGATAAAGAGCGTGGCGCTAGACTGTTAACAGGGGGGGGGGTGGGGTAGTCCAGGGCCAATTTTTGGCACATGCTTCGTAGGGTCCCAGTGAAATACACCGAAATCACGTAGCTTTTAAACCTGTTTTTTGAGGCCATAGAAGGTCATTCCATAAAAGCCTGGAATCTTCGAAACGCTTTGATAGTTATTGCGCAGTTTTTAAGTAGAGAAAATGCATCAAAACGACTAAAATCTTCTAAAAATAAGGATTTATGAGCAAAAATGAATAAAGAAATCAAAGATTTCAGAGATTGGATACATTTTGTGACTTTTGAGTAACCTAAAACTGCCAAAAAGACTAAAAAAACTAAATAAGGCTATATTTTTTTTGCGTGACTCGAAAAGGATAGATAGATCCCCCGTTAACAGTCGAGTACCAAGGCCGCTTACTCGGGATCGTGCTCCTTGGCAAAGTGTTCGACGAGCACCTCATGAGACCGGACACCCGTCTGGCATTTCGGGCACTTGACGCATCCCTTGTACATCAGCCCGTGCATTCGCTTCAAGTGTCGGGACAGCGTTCTGGTGCTCATGAAAAATTGGCCGCATCCGGGGCACGGGAGTTTGCCACGCCGGATGGGTGGTGGAGCCGGTACGTTCAGAGCGGGTGCAGAATAAGCCGGGTAAGACGGATTCAGGCCGGGGTGCCTGGCTTTCACGTGAAGGCGTATTTGCTCTATTCGATCCGACGTGTAAGCGCAGATCATGCTCGGGCACGGAAAAATTACCTTCGCCCTGAACCTGCGAAATTATATAACTGGTTGCCGAATCTGCCGACGTCGGCAGCAAGTTCGAGGCGTCAAAATATAGGATAGTTTCTGTGCTTAAAACCTTCGTAGCCAGAAACTACTAAGAAAGGGTTAGTAAGCAACAATAATGTGGGGTTTCCTTTTTTTCTTTACTGTTCGACCAGAAAAAACTCACTTTGGGGGAAATTCTTCCAGGAACTGCTTTTTGAGCGCCTCTGCGCTTCGACCGGGCTTCACTTCATGATCAATCTCTGTCCTGAAAAACCCGAAATAATTATCGCATTAAAAAAAAATTCTGAAAATACTCACCTTTCGGCAGCCCTGGCCCGATCCTGCCCCATTTTCCGTCGCGCCTCACGCTCTTCTGCGCTTTCCTGGCTGAGTTTGGCCAAGCTAAAACCCAAAAATATAGCAACTATTTCTTATGACCCATAATTTCAGGCAAAATAAAAACCTACTAAATAGCACGCGCGCTCTCGAGTTCTTTTTGCTGGCGTTCCTTGGCGCTTTCGCGGCTTGCTGCGACGTACCTAAAAGTGAAAATAAAAATGCGCGCAATTATTTTATCGTACCGCCGGGCCCGCTTCCAGTCTTCTTCATACCCCAATCGCTGGAGTCGTTCTTCAGTCGATTCCGGGCGCTGCGCCAATCTAAAATATTCCACCTTCGCTATGTCCATCAATGTAAAAGAGTTTGTTCGAAAATACCCCTTCTTATAACTTTAACTCACTTGCGCGCTTTGTCATTTTGCCGAATTATCCTATGACGTTCTTCCAAAGCCGCCCAACCCTCCTCGGTCAAAACGTCGAAGCTGGGCGGTTCTTCTTTAACCGGAAGTAGCGTCGAGCTTGTGCCCGGCGTTTGGCCGTTGAGCGACGCGTCCTGGCGGTTCATTTCCTTTGGCCATGCAAGTGTGCTAAAACATCATTACTATAGAACATTTTCGTCATTACTTTAGCTGAATGAAAAAGAAAAAGAAACTTTCCATAGAAAATTCCGAGCTACGGTCAAGATTTTGAGGTCACGTGGTTGATACCGGTGAAAGAAATACATGATTTTTCACGCATAAAGGAGAGAAAAAATCTCAAGGGTTTGTAGAGAGCATTGGCGGGAAGAGGTGAAAAAGAGGCGTATAAGGTTATTACACAGTAAAAAGCCGATATTTGGACCTACAATTACAATGCATTAATAATTCAACAGCTTCTGACTTGCATTAATAAATTTAAAACTTAAAATTATTACTTTTCACCAAGTCTAAATCTTTATAATCTTCTATCAAAACAACCCAATCTGTTGGTCATCAGCCGTCAAGGAATCCATGCAGCAATGCGCTTGAAAAAATAAAATTTATTCAAACCATCGACCCGAGTATTCGCACAACCAAAAAAAACAAAGAATATCACACTTTGTTGAAAGATGACAATGTTCTTTACATACCCGTAGTAATGAGTGACAAGTTAAAAAAAATTTGGGGGAGCTAATAACTAATCACAATTTTCGGTTCTTGGTGATGGGGTGAAATGTTTGGGTTCTATTGGAAACATTGCGAAGATGATGGCTGCTGGACATCCAGAGCTGCCGAACACGTCTGGCTTGATTCTCCGCCCATCGGCTGATCGCCGTCATCGTCTTCGTACACCAATCCATCGTCTTCCCTAAAAAATAGGAAAATTTATTCTAGCGTTAACTTTCACTTACGATTCTGGGGTTTCGTTCTTCGGTGGTGGGGTGAAGATCTCGCCGGGGACACCGCTGCCGAACAGCCTAAAAAAATCACAAAAATAACCGTATAGATAAAAAATAAAGAAAAAATCCGCCAAAACTCACAACTGCATTGCGTTGGCCTGGGCTTCAAGCTCGAGAATTCCCGGAATCTCGGCCAGGTTGAGCAGGCCGGCCATCTCCAAGGCGCCGGTCGGGCTGCGGCTGCTGCGACTGAATAAAGTTAATAAGAGCTAGAAAATAGACAGGAATTTGCATACGGAAATGAACGAAAATTCAAGTTTTGGTAATGCGTTCTGATCAGCCTTACCTAGGCGTTCCCCTCTGCTTGCGAGTTCTGTCCTTGAGCAGGCGCGCCTCGCGGTCCTCCGCCGCCTCCGTCTCCAGCTTGCGCTGCCTGCAAAAACGGGAGCTACACGTCGAACAAGACCAAATGTCTCACCTCCAAGCGCGCCACTGCTCGCGATTCAGTAGAAGCCGTTGCTGGCGCTCTTCCGGTGATTCTTGGCTCTGTCGCGCTTGTCTGAAAAAATTATATTCAAAGCCGGCAAAAAACGGAGCTATATTTTTCGCCATTAGTTGTATAGCAAAAAACGAACTTGATAGCTCGCACACGCTCCCGCTTGACCCTGAGCCGTTCTTCACGCTCCTCCGGGGTTTCCATGCTTTCTCGCTCATGTCTGAAAGAAATATTTGAAATCGGAAAAAACACGGACCTGCGAGCTCTTTCGCGTTCCCTCTCGATTTTCAGGCGGGCCTGGCGCTCCTCGGGAGTTTCCTGTATACGGATGGCGAGGCTGAAAATAAAGATGTATTTTGGCTCTTCCATAAAAGAATAATAATTCTTACAATAAAATTCCAGCTTTTTAATAACAGAAAGCTCACCGTCTAGCGCGCCACTGCTCCCGTTGAATCTCCAAACGCTGCTCACGCTGCTCGGGCGTCTCTCGGTTGCGCTTGGCGGCTCTAAAAAAGTTCTTTGTCAAAAATAAACAAAATTGTACCTCTGACGCATCGACTTCTCGCACAACTTTCTACGCCGTTCCGCCAGATAGGCTTCGCCGCGCGGGTGCGTTTTTCCACTGCCACTGGTGATGCTGCCGTTTTCGCTAAAAGTGTCCGGCTTCTGCTCTGGCGGCATGGCAGACGTCGAGCTTTCCGGTGGCATCGGGGTCGAAGATCCGTTGTTGAATTCGACGCCGCCGGCCGGCATCAGCAGCTGGTTGAAGTCGATGTTGCTGAAGTCGACGTCTTGCGACTCGGAGTTGAAGGACTCGTCGCTGAAGTCGGGCGCGTTCTTCAGCACCTCTTCCAATAGCTGCATCATTTTGCCGCCTGGAATTTGGTTTTTGATTGTGGGCAAGTAAAAAGATATATTTTGTTTACAGAAAATGAACTTATGAAGATGATGTCTATAAAATCAAGGAGCCTAAATATTTAAAACTATCAAGAAAGCACTATAAATTTCGTTTGTAGCCATTAAAAGAAAAAACACGGCAAAAACTAGTCGCCTAGACCAGAAAAGGCGCTCTTTTTTCTGCCAGCAACAAATTTTTGCGGAAATTAAGGGGAGTTTTAGACAATCTTCAAAATCGTTTAGGAGAGCTATCGAAAGCGCGAATGATAAGCGTTTTACATTTGCCTATCATTACGAAGCAGGTGGGGGGCCGTTACGCGTGGTGCGTATTGATTCTCGATGCATTCCCAAAGGACGTTTGCTAGCCTGCCCCGCCCCCTTCTCTCTTTGCCCTCCTTTCCTCCCACTGCCCGCGTTGGATCGATCGTGGAGTGCCGGGCTGCTGGTTAGGGCGACCTCCGTCGGCTGCGATTCGATTTGGATTTAGCGTAAAAGAAAATGCACATAAAATAAAGGGGGGGTGGGAGGAGGGGCGAAGGGAAAGGGGGAAAGAACGAGGGGTGGGGGGGGGGGGGGGGGGGGAAGGGGGCGGGTCCCGGGTGAGGGGGGTATTTGGGGTGGGGGGGGGTTGGGGGGGGGGGGGTTTTTTTTTTTAATAGTTTTTTGTGGGGAATTTTTTTTGTTAATTTTTATAAAAAATATATTTTTTTTTTTTTTTTTTTTTTTTTTTATTTTTTTTTTTTTTGGGGTATTTTTTGGGGGGGTGGGGGATTATTTTTTTTGTTTTGTTTTTTTTTTTTTTTTTTTTTTGTTTTTTTTTTTGTTTTGTTTTGTGTGGGTTTTTTTTTTTTTTTTTTTTTTTTTTTTTTTTTTTTTTTTATATATTTGTGTATAAATTAAAAAAAAAAATAAAAAAAATATAAAAAGGGAAAAATGGAGGGAAAGAGTTAGGGGTAAGGGGAAAAAAAAAATATATTGTTTTTTAATAGGTTGGGGGGGGGATTTATATATATTAAAAATTTTGTTTAAATTTATTTTTTATATATATAAAGAATTAAGTAATTGGAAAAATAAAAAAAAAATAAAAAAAAAAAAATTTATATTTTTAATTATGTTGTTGGTAAAATAAGGTAAAAGAGGAAAAAAAAGGGGGGGAAAAAAAAAAAAATTTATATTATAAAATTAAAATTTTTGGAAGAAAGGGCAAAAAAAAAAAAAAAAAAAAAAATAAAAAATTAAAAATAATAATTTATTTTTTTATTTTTTTTTTTTTTTTTTTTTTTTTTTTTTTTTTGTTTTTTTGTCTTGGGGGGGTTTTTTTTTTTTTTGGGGGGGGGGTGGGGGTCTTTTTTGGGGGGGGTGTTTTTGGGGGCTTTTTGTGGGGGGGGGGTTGGGGCCCCCCCCTCCCCCCCCCAAATAAAAATATAATCGAAAATAAAAGAATTTTGCATTCTACAGACACTGTTCGTATTCCGCTCAATTTCTTCAAAATCGAAGGGCGTCTTGCTTTGATTTGTAAATTTCTAATCGGCTTTTCCGCTTTGAAGTAAAAATATCTAACTCAAAAATAGTAGTAAACGGCTTAGAAACGCCTAAAAATCCGGAAAACATCAACAAAACCGGCTTTTGTTTATTACCCACATAAAACCACAGCAGCAAGCATAAATAAACACAAAACAATTCACAATGCGTTGAGATTAGCAGGATGAGGGTCATAAAAAATGGCTAAAAATTTTATTGGCTCTTTGCTTCGCGTTCCTTCTTGCGCAGGGCGGCACCGCGGATGCTGAGGGAGGTGTTGGTGAGGATCTTGTCGCGCAACCAGCAGGGGATGGCGGAGAGGAACTCGAGCTGGAAAATACGACTATACGAAATTTTAAAAGCTCTAAAAGAATGCCTTGCCGTCAGCATGCTAAGGAACTACCAAAAAATGAGCAATTTTTCAGAAAAAAAAAATAAATTTTGATGATTTTTTGGGGAAAAACAGAATTTCTCACTCCCTATAACAAAATATACCTGAATCTGATGCGTGTAGTAGCCGGTGGTCTCCGACACGTGGCCGACGGTGTCCAAGGCGGCGCGAGCGAAAGTCGTAGGGTTGGGCGTGAAGAAGGAAGTCTTTTTCACCTTCGAAAGCAAGTAAATGAAAAGCAATTTAGCGGTACCTTGCTCATGTTCGTGGCCACAAGCATCGGGCAGACGGTCTGGATGGTGATGTTCGGGCCGTATTCCATGCGCAGGATTGCGGACAGCCATTGGACGTAGCGCTGATAAAATGATAATTAGCGCTAGAAAAAAGCATCATACCTTGGTGGCGGAATAGACAGCCCAGTAGGCCATGGTGTTGTAGCCGGCGGCCGATGAGAGGTTGATGACGACGCCCTTCTTGCGCTCGACCATCTGCGGCAGCACGGTGGCGGTCAGCTAAAAAAAATAAATTTAACCAAAATGCTTTCAGAGAACTATAGGCCAAAGATGTCAAAATCTATACCAGGGTCGGCGGCAGCGTGTTCATGGAGGTGATGGAAGAAAGACGCTCAACGCCACCCTCGACAAGATGCATACGCTAAAAACAGATATAGACCGGAATTAAAACCTCGAAAATACCTCCGGGTACTCGTAGCTGAGCCCGACGTTGTTCACCAGCACTCCGATGTCGTATTTCTTGAGCTCCTCGAGTAGTGGCACGTAGTCGGCATACTTTCCGGTTGAGAAGTCGAAGGTGTACGTCTTGATTTCAACGTTGGACTAAAAAAATGAATTTAGTACCATGATCCGAACACGTAAAAGCCCGGAAAGGAATCAGGAAAACTTACATATTTGTCCTTGATCTCCTTCTTCGTGGCCTCAAGCTTGTCCTGCGAGCGGGAGATGAGCAACACGTTGAAGCCCCGTCGCGCCAGGTCGAACGAGTAGGCCTTGCCGATGCCGTCCGTTGAACCGGTAACAACTAAAATGTTCACTAAAAATAGCGGACGACAAATATACCTGCCCATTTTGCGCCGGCCTTCTGCAGCAAATCGATCTTGCCGGCCAGGAAGTACGGGTAGACGATGTTGTAGAGGGCGGTTAGGACCTAATTTTTGAGTTTAAAAAAGTGGAAAACAAAAAACTACCTTGTACGCGACGAAGGTCAGACCGAGGTACCCGAAAGCCTTGACGAAGCAGTCGCAGCCCATCTGAAAAATAAAATGAAAAGAAGAAATGAAATAAAGGAACAGAAAATCAAGATTAAAGAAAACGATTAGCGGAAGCAATGTACATAAAAGCACCCAAAAGAGCCCTAGCAATTTCACGAGAAACTTATTTCTGCAAAACTACAAAATGATGGATTAGCGCTACTTGACCGTGACAAAAAACAACAACACCAAAAGCTGAAAACGTGTAATTTTTAAAGGGGGGTGGTGGGGGGGGGTTCAACAGGTCCCGCGGCGGTTTCGGGGGGGGGGGGGTGGGGGGGGGGGGGGGGGGGTTTTTTTCTCTCCCTCGTGGGTGGGTTTGTGTTGTCCCCCCCCCCCCCTTTAAGGAAAATCGGCGGTTACCTTACGAAAAATCAAGGAGTCAAAATTTCCACGATATCTAGTTCCAAAATGATCCCCAACACTGCCCATCCATCGTCCAACAACGCCAAAATGAACGGCCCAGAAACCGGCCGACAAAATGGAGAACAATCTAGCAGGGGTGGCGGGCTTATCGTGCGATTGGGGCAGAGTACGAACTGCAACACACTGGGGGCAAGAAGGTGGGCTGACAGCCGGCCATGGAATGCCCCAAAAAGCAGCCCCAAACGCGGGGGCGCTTCGGAAGGGTTGCGCGAGGCGATATGAGGCGAGAAGGAGGGCGAGATGATATGATTGTGAGCCGTGGGTGCAACTAGAGATGAGCAAGAAAAGGCCTAAGATGTTCATAAATGTTAAATTAAGGATTTAAGGAATTAAGGAATTAAGGATTCGATAAATCGCGACTTGCTTTTCCGCCTACCCCTGAAAAACAATCCTGCAAAATTGAAAGTTTTCTCCAACTTAAAAAGTTTTCCAGAATCTCGAAAAAAAGAAAAACGCCCAAAAAGTGAAATTAGAATTCGAATGCGAGTTCGTGTCCGCATGCATCAATGGACAAAAGCGTGATTTGGTGCATCCCGTACACAGTTCCACGCGACACCAACAAACGAACAGCGTTGATAGTCGTCTTTCGGAACGGAAATCGGTACAACATCCGAAAAAGCTGAAATTTTCCTGATTTTGTTTCCTTTTGGGTTTTTATTATTTTTTTTATGCGCTAAGTGCAAAATCAGTGGATCACAGCCAATTTCCGGGCTCAAACCTCAGGCTCCTCTTGGCCCCTGCCGCTTCTAATAGCATAACTTAGTCAGCCATTTTTTCTGTTTTTGCATTGACCCTGGGTGGAACAACGGGTTGCGCGTCAAACAGAAACAGACAGACCGACATACAGCCCATCCTTGCCTATGCCACACACATACCCTGCCACATACAAACAAACGGCTCGCCATTTCTTCTATTTCTCTGGGCCTCCGTCGCCGTGGTGATCATTCGTATGTTTGGGCGACAGACAGACAGAAATGTCCCGGATACACACAGACAGACAGAGCAGACTGGGCGGCACAGACACACAGACGGGTGTGGAGACAAACATACACGAAAGAGGGAAGAGAGAGGCGCAGACACGCAACCGGAAAGGCGGGCCGGCACAGACGAACAGACAGATGTGGAGACAAACAGACGGGATAGATGGGGAGGACGGACAAACAGACAGACACACAGACAGACAGACACACATACTGATGCCCAGACGCACACCAACAGACAGAGAGCGGATCAATTTCTCGCCGTTTTGGGCCATGGCGCTGCCTAAAGTATTCGGCTTCTTTCCGGGGGCATCCCTCTTTGCGTTCCTTGGATACTAATTTTTGCCCTATATGACTTTATATACCTTTTTCAGATGGAATTTATGCCGCAACAGCCCGAAAAACCGCCAACTTTGGCGATTCCCGAGGATGAGGTGCTGAAATTGGTGTAAGGAGCTATTTTTTTCGGTATATTTTACCGTGTTACAGTAACTTCACCGACCCTTTTCGATGCGAGGAGCCTGCTGTAGTGCAGCAAACTTTGACGCCGGCTGGCCCATTGGTTAGTTTTGAAGGTTCTTTCGCCGTATTGGGGGATCCGCATTTTATAAGATAAAGGGAGGAAGTGTTTCTATGCTGTTTTTTTGCTATTCCTAAACGTAAAGGCTTTACAGAGTTTTGCTAAAAAATACCAAAAACAGTGATTTTCGACCAAAAAATGGCCGATTCTTGTTTAGAATCTCGACATAAAAGTTTTTTTCTGTTTGTTTCTCGCTCAAAACCCTCAGAAAGCCGGAATTTCTCAGAATTTAAAGTTCTTTTTAAAGAGTTGCGGTTGACGTTTAGAGAACAAGAAAGTTATTTTAAAAATTTGATGGTTTTTAATTTCAGCAATTCGCCTTCGGAAGGCCACCCTCGATTCACCCTCCACAAGCAGTTCTGGCGCCCCTGAAGACGTTAAGCCGGTTTGTGCACTACCGCAAATTCTTAACCATTTTTTTAGAATTTTCTACAATTTGCGGGATTCGCTACTCCTACATCCAACGATTCCCAAATCCCAGCCGAAGCCGGCGAACAGAAAGCGGTTTGATTTTGTTATTCGCTTAGAAATATTTTTTTAGACTATCGCCGGTGTCTTCAACTTTCTAAGCTCCCAATTTGGTGCCGACACCGATGGACCGGACAGGCGGGCCCGACTTTGGAGGTGATTAAAAAGGTTTAAAAGATACCTCAAATTCAGACGCGCTAAGCTGACGGCCCAACGAATGAATGAGACGCAGACACCGAAGGATGATTTGCGAAAGAACCGCACTGTCAGGTATAGTTTTAACTGAAATTCATTAACTTTCTTCTTTTTTTTAGATTGCCGCGCCAGCCGCTCGGCACGGATCCGCAGACCCGCAGGATGGAACGCCAGAAAAGGGACCGAGAACGGCAAGCATGGAATCGGTATGGAAAATAGCGTAAATTTGTATTTTTTCACTTTTTAGCACGATGCAATACGCGATGGAGACGCCGGAGCAACGGGAGGAGCGGCGAAGGGTGCTGCGAGAACGAGCTTATGCAGCGCGGTACGGAATTGATCGATTTTTTACAATTTAAGATCGTGTTTTAGAGATCGCCGCTTAGCTGCCGAGTCTCCGGAGCAGCGCGAAGAGCGGCTGAAGGCGTATCGAGAGAAAGCTTCAATGCGCAGGGCTCTGCGAGACGCGTCTGAGACTCCGGAAGAGCGAAAAATTCGTCTGAAAAGAGTTGCTGAAGCGGCTGCAATGAGGAGGTATTTCTTAGATTTTTATATCTTTATGGAAAAACTCAGGGCTTCTTCTCGACAGCGCGACAGCCAGCCACCAAGAAAGGAGAGCGAGCATCAGAGGCAGAGCTTCACCCCGGAAGTTCTTTACAGGTTGGTTTTACGGAGCTTCACCCTAAAAATTTCCTTTTTAGTCACCAGCCAGTCAAGCAGGAGCCCGTAGAGGAAAAGCCTTTCCCGTCGACCCCGCAAAACACTTACTCGCCCCTGCTCGAGCTCAGGAAGGACGAAAACAGCCAGCGCTTCAGGCGCGAGACGTCCGAGGAGCGCGAGCTGCGCAAAGCCAAGAACCGCGAAAAATTGCGGCAAACGAGGTATTTTTTTAATTTCGATTTTTAGCTTTTTTATCAGGTCCCAGCGGGCCGCGCGCGAGACACCCGAGGAGCGGCAAATTCGTTTGAAGAAGATTGCGGATGCGGTGGCGGTTCGCAGGTATTTTTCCAAGATTTTCTTGGCTTGTTGACGAGCTTGAAAATACGATATTTACCGAATTTCCTATTTTCTAGATTCGTCAAACAAGCCCTGGAGTCACCCGAACAGCGAGAAGAGCGCCTGAGAATTCAGCGCGAATATGTTGCGGCTCGGCGGTTGGTTTTTAGGATATTTTCTTGTATTTTTCATTTAGTAAAGCCAAGCTGGAAGCCGAGACGCCGGAAGAGCGTGCCGAGAGGCTGCAGCGAGAAGCCGCACAGAAGAAGAAGCTCGATCAGGAACGGTAAGCCCAATTTTGTGGATTTGATTTTTAATTGATATTTAGACGCAACCGCCTGGCCGCCGAGAATCGTGAGTTCTACCTGGATGTGCGTCGTTTTGTGCCGAGGGATCGCAGCGTTCGGTTGGTTTTTGACAGTTTGGTTCTTTGGCAATATCGGGGGAGCAAATGTTCTAATATTTCCTCTTATTGGAAACTGTTTGTTTTACTATTATTAAACTTAAAATGTTACAATTATCACTAATAAATGCAAAAAAATGGCCGATTTTTGAAACTTCAGAGATTTTAAATGGTTTTTCCAACTAAAGTTTAGTTAATCTTGATTAAAAACGCTATTAAAATGTTTACTATTACGTCTCTAGGTAGAAATGTCCCCCCCCCCCCCGATAAGGCTAAAGAACCTGTTGAAAATTCATAAAATTGGTATGATGCATTTAGGGATCCCTACAACGAGAACGAGAATTTCGACGGCAACTCGAATTCGGTGGCTGATTCCGGAGAAACGGCATTGCCGGAGTCGCCTGAACCTGATGATGCCGAAGAAGATCTCCCGATCGACGGACAATGGGGCAAAATCCTGAAATGGGCCGAGGGCACAAATCAAGCCGAAATTTCCGAATAGTCTTGAAGAGCTTGGCCATAATTTTTTAGGTTGTAAATACTCGTGAGATATTGTCGTGCCATTGTGATTTTTTCGCCTACATGTGCCGATCGCTTATGTTTATTTTTACGGGTCCTTTCATTCAAGTCCAATAAAGTTTATTGTGATTTATTGACAGGTCTTGCAGATTACATTTCTCTTCAAGAGGCTCGATATGCATTAATTTGCCGAGGGCAAAATCCAGGAAAGTTGGAGAAAAGTTTCGAGGATGGGACGATTGATAAGGTTGATAAATGAGTAGATTAGATAAAAACAAACTGAATTATTTTGGGGTTATCTTTGCTTTTCGCCGATCATTTTGGCTCTATCGCTCCCTATTAGTTGCAACAAAATTTTTCCGAGAACTTTTTATAATTTTTTTGAGCGACGGCAGCGATAAAGGGATTTTGCATACTGGGCAATTGAGGGCTTGAAAATGGCCACTTAACGAATTGAAATTTTGATCGGAAAAACTTGACTTTTCACTTTGACTTTTGTATTTTTTACTAAATACAAATTTTTAAAGCTTATGCGTTTAGAAATAGCAAAAAAAACTGTTAAACTGTTAGAGACATGTGCTATATATTTGATACCAAAAAATAGGTAAAAAGCCGCCCCCCGATAATTCACCAGCCCCTAGATAATGCGAAGGCACCTGAGATTGCCTCCCGTTATTTGTCTGACTTTAGGCACATTATAGCCCGCCAGACAACTATTAATTCCGAAGCGCTCCGGTGACGTTTCCAATTTCTAAAAGCAGCAAGAACTGTATATACAAAAAGCGATTTGCGGCCTGGATTATACGGTCTAAACGCTTTTTTGGAGCCAAAATCGTCGATAATCGCCGTTGACGATGCATAATTTACACAATACGATAAATGCCAGTTTCATCGTCGATTTAATCCGCCACACGCCTCTCTTCATACTTGAATTAACTCGTCGAAGAGTTAATACACAATAATATAAATTTTTTACTTATTGAATGAAAATTTTCATACGATTTCTCTCAAGCCCCGCCCCTAATAATATATTAACACCCCCGTTTTTCACATGCCCGACCCATGAACTGGCATATCTGCCGCCCAGATCGGGATCGTTTCCCCCCCTCACTTGTCTCCCCGATGTGTTTATTTTGATTTAACCCAGCGGCTCACGAGAAATATATCTCCACACGATGGTCCCCGTAAATAGTTAGCCCCCTCACAAAAAGACGATCAAAATCTGGGTACTGACTTTGTTTTTCGGCATCGACGTCAGGGGGGCGGAAAGACGCGCGAAGCCAAATTTTCTAGGTGGGCCCCGGAAAATAGGGGTTGTTATTTAGCGGCATTTAATGGGATACGGTAACCCGAATTTTTGACCGCTGAAAAGTGGGGTATTTTTGAAACGGAGCCGGACCACAGGAATTTGTCTAATTTTTCGATTTTGAACTCATGTTTTAAGCCATAACTCTCTTTTTATTTCTATTCACGGCTCTCTCTCTGCCTCTCTGTCTCTCTCTCTCTGTCTCTCTCTTTCTCGCTCTCTATCTTGCTTTCCATTTTTCTCTCGCGTTCTAGGCACACTCTCACTCCCTCTCACTCTTTCGCTCTCTCTCACTCTCACTCACTCTCTCGCTCCCTCGTTTTTTTCTGAATTTCCATTCATCTTCTCCCGACCCATCATCCCACTCCGTCACCAGGATTTTTTTGGAATCCCATCGCGAAGCTTTTTATCATGAAGTGGACCTCATGATCTTGGGGAGCAAAAGCTCTGATAGGAATTCGAGCTCTTGCCTATAAATCTGGGGGTGGCTGTCGTTGGCCAAAAACCAGGGCTACCAGTTCTGATTTTTATGAAGACTTGACTCAGCTATCTTTTTCTGCCGAAAAATTACTGCTCGTATACGAAAGCGCGCGTTTTCCGTTTACGTTTTTCGACTCGAGACAGTCTAGACAAGTCCTTCCCCTTCCAGCCACACATTTCGAAGCGCGCAAAAAAGGTGTCTGCCTTGGTGGTGGTGGTTGCCCTTTTTGGGGGAACATCTGGGGCTCCCTGTCGCGAAATTTTTGCCCTTTCCGGCCCCCTTAAAATAGTCGTCGATCTTCGAAAAGTACCTTGCATACGCGCCCCCATGAAATTGGCATTCATACAAGCCCACTCGTATCATTTGGCGCCAATTCGGGACTCAAAATTTCGAATTTGACTATTAAAACTTATAGACACTTTTTTGTTTATTCATTTTGGGATTATCTTTCTAAAAAGAACGAAAATCCTTTATTCATTGCTTGAATACTAGGGCATCATTTTTGGGATTATTTTAATGGTTAAATTCACAAAAACTGCCCCGATTTTCGTTTTTTCTAATTTTCCGATTTTGAAAATTCCATTATAATCGGTATTTTCTAAAAATCCACCTTTAGATGTCGAGAATAGTGTATCTTCTCCTGCTTCTGGCGATCATCGTCATTTCCACATCCGCAGCCAGCGTCAAATTCAATCGATGCCGCGTCGGTCGACTGGACAATCAGAATGAGGAGTACAAATACATGGTGGGTTACGAAATTTAATTTTTCCTCTAAATAATACTGAAAATAGTTTCTAATTAAACACAACTTCAACTCAAAATACCCGATTTCAGCTTCCCCTGATGCCGTGCAAGGGCGAGTGCGAGTTCCAAGTCTTCGACGACGCTACCGAATTCTACTGTGGCTGTGATGTAAGTTTTTAAGCTAAAAAAATTTCATTTTTGTTGATCTTGCTGTCCTAAAGATGCTAGAAATTGCCATAATCGACTCCTTTAATCGGCTAGGCCTAGACAGCGACGCAAAGCTCCGAATAAGCCTTTTAGACGTCTTTTGGTAGGGATAAGACCGGGTGATAGCCGTATCTTGAAGCGCCGCGTAGATGTCTAGACCCAGTCGAGCAAGGGGTCGATTCTAGCTCTTACTAGCCCCGTTAAAATCCCAAATTTTCAGCGGAGAAGGCGGCCCAACTGTAAGCAGCCAGTTTTCCACTCTTCCGGCTCGCTGCCGTTGAAAAATACCGGCTTTTCCATTTCTCTAATGCTCCCGATTTTGATCAGCTGTTACCTGCTGAGATTTCAGTGATTTTTTTTTGCGTGTAAAATCAATAAAAGACGGGTGATTGTCGGGAGCGGAAACGGGCGGATTGTAGCGGAAACGGGCGGGAGGATCAGATCGGATCCGTGACCCCGGCAAATGTTGACAAAAGAAACAAATGGATTCGGGGGGATAAAAGGAGGAAAAAAAGAAGATAAAAGAAATTGAGAAGAAAAAGAAAAGCAAAACAGCGTTCGGGGGTTCAGAAAATGCCCTGACAGTCCGGGAAGGAATCCATCTCGGAAATGGCAACACCATCAAGTCTCGTGGCGCTGCCGGGCCTATGCATTTTCAAGCGGGAAAAGAGGGAAGGATGGAATATTGCGGAAAAGCGGAAGTTGGGAGTTTTAGACTCGTTTTGTTTCATGTTGTAAAACAAGGCATTTTGTGTAGATTGCTAGCGTGAATCTCCCCATAATACTTTTTAACTTTCTATTCGTGTAAAAATAACTATACAAACCGGTCCTTTTGCGTTATCGAGAGGATGTATCAGGGCGGAAAACACCGTAATTTTCTTCAACATCAACTCTTTGATCGATCAACCTGTCCTTGTTTTTCGTAGGGGTGCTTGATCCAAGCAAGCTAGCAGCGATCCTTGAAAAAATTGAAAAGTTAGTTTTTTCAAGAAAGTAACTGTTTGTTATTTGGTAAAGCGTAAATTTAATGAATTGCAATTCCTAATGTATTTTTAAAATCCATATTTAGGTTAAGGTTAATCTTCATGCTAAAACCGGAGAGCTAGCAGAGATTCTTGAGGAAATTAATATTTTTCCAGGCATCAAAGGCAATCATTAGGCAAAATATCGGTATGATAACGCTTTTGAATAAGCAGTTCAAAATTTTGGTTGATTTCCAGGGCCAGTATCGAGCCTTTTGCTAGACTAGACGTCGGAACTGTCCATTTTTCGTTCGGGGTAGGCTGTTTAAATACAAAAAGCTCCAAATATCCACAAAATCCGAGAAAACGTAAATTTTACCGCAGCGGAAGCAGTAGAAAACCCGGAGCTATCAATTTACGATTTAAAAAAGAAGAAATATTATATAAATATTGAATTTAAAGGAACGAACGGCAAGCAATTTTCTTTATTCTGCATGCGTTATACATGCAACTTTTGCTCCTTTTGTTCAATGGTTTCTCTTGCACTCCTTGACTCGAAAAAACAGCCGATTTACAAGGAAACACGAGTTTTACGCGAATGCGTGTGACCCAGCAGACCCGGAACGACTCGGGGCACAAATAAATGAGCTCGGTAAGCCCCCACAGGAGGCTTACGAATCGGAATTTGCGAGGGTGGAGGGGGCTCTCGGTTCTTGGGGGAGCAAAACAGAATGCAGCAATTGATGCTTTAATGCCCTATTCAGTCAAACCAGCAACTTTTTTCAAGTCCGGGAACGGTGTGAAATGCAAGCTTTCAGTTGGTTCTTTAGAATTTTGGAGGCCAAAAACGGTAAGAAACCGGACCATAAAATTTTTTCCGGATCTTTCATGGCCCGCTTGACCTGGCGAATCGGTCGATTTCAAACTTCAGACGATGCATAGATGCTCTGCGACGTATTTTCGACGTGGGTTTGAGGTTTTTCAACGTGGGTTTCGGGATTTTCGACGTTGGCTGCGAAATTTTTGACGCTAGTTTCAGGATTTTCGACGTTGCTTTGAAGATTTCTACCTTTATTAAGCTTTTGGCTGGTAGGCACATTAAAAACCTTATTAAGCTTCGTACCCCATGCCAAACATCGCCCATCCCGAGATCAACCTCCCACTCCCGCCCGCCTTCCCCACTCGACTCCAAAATTTAATTGGTGGCGGCATCGAGCGGAGTGGTATGTGGGTCCTCTCTTGGCCCCTAGAAGAAGAGCACTTGCTGCGGGGGTCGTCTCTTTGACTGTGGATGGCTTCTCCTCTCACAGATGGCTCCAATTAGAGGCCATTCCATTCCTTTCCTCACCCCGGCCGCCCACATACATACATTCATTCCACCCCTCTCTGACGGCCGCGCGACACCACTTTTTTCTTTGACAGGACAATCCGTTAAATTGGTTGCGCCCGGGTGGACCGGAATTAGCAAAAAATGTGGAGTTCGAAACGTTTGGGGTGAAAGGATTTGGCTGGACTCTTCGAAAACTGCAGAATTCGGCTAGAGGCGAACTTGATCTTTTTGGCATTGTCTTGGTATCTGGTGCACTGGCTCCATATCTCTCTCCCTCTCGCTCTGTGTGTCTCTCTATCGCTCTCTCGTTCGGCGTGTCTCTCACGCTGCCTGTAGTGCTCTCTCACTCTCTCTCTCACGGTGTCGCTATGTGTCTCTCTATTTCTATCTCTCTCTCGACCGGTGGGTCACTCTGTCTGTCTACCTGTAGCGCTCTCTCGCTTTCTCTCTCTCTCTCACGCGCACGGGCTCTCTTTCACCCTCACGCTTTTTCCCCTGTCTCTGTCTCTGTCTCTCTCTCGGTCTCTCTCGCTCACTCTCGCTCTCTCTCGCTCTCTCTCGCTCTCTCTCGCTTTCTCTCTGTCTGTCTGTCTCTCTCTTTGCTGTCTCTCTCTATGGCATGTCGTTTTTTCTCGTAGTCAAAGAAGTCAACCACACAATTTCTTGTCACAGTGTCTCTGTATGCCAAAGCGACGCCATCTGGCCCGCTTTTTTCGACTTGAATAATGAGGGCACGCGATATCGAGCCGTTCTCTGGTTGCAACTGGAACACAAAAAATGGCCAAGGATTTGACTGGACATTTGGTCGGAACGAAAACACATTGGCAGTGGGAGTGAATCAAGGCAACTTTTTGCTGTTATAAGGATTGAAAACCCTCCAGGCGCTTACTCCATTCCAGGCGCCCGATCAAGAAAAATTAATTTTTTGGCTAGTTTCTTGGTTTCATGAATGAGCCAATTTCACGATTAGCAATTTAAAGACATTGATCGCGACAATTTCCCTATCTCTGTTTATTTTCAAACCAAAATTTCACCCAAACCCGGCTCCACTAATCCGCTACTACGTAACGACCAGAAAAAGCCCAGACAATTCGTCCCGATTAGCTCAAACACGATACAATACATAGTATTCCCCCATTGTCCTCATCCTTTCCCTCTCCCTCACAACAGATTTCATGCCCGAATAGGAATCGCCTTCTCCCCTGCCACCATTCAATGCAAAGGATTTTTGGCAGTCACGTGGTTGCCCCGCGTAGTCATCTCGCCTTTTCACATCAAAAGAGGCAGTGGAATCTGTTTTTCCTTGATCTTTTGGAATTCAAAACGCCAAATTTTATGATTTTAGGAGCTACCGTTTAGGTACAACTTTTTAGCTTTTTGATCTGCAAATTTTACGGACCAAGGAATAGCCAGCCCGCACTCTGGTCACATTTTTGGTTTCCCTTTCTTTTGTTTGGACATTTCAACAAAATTTTTGTACGGATTTTTCATGCATTTCGCTTGTGTTTTTTTGCTTGCTGTCTGACCATTACGGTACGAAATACAGTACGATACGCTCGGTTATTTTGAAGTATCAGATACAAAAGTACGAAAAGTTCCGTAAATTTTTATCGTAGGGCGAATTTTTGTTTAACACGGTATCCCTCTCTCACTCTCACTCGCTCTCGTTAACTCTCTCTCACTCGCTCTCGCTTTCTCGCTCTCCCGGTCTCTCACTATCGCCCTGAATTTCGGTATGCAGTACCCAAACAGCCCTAATCTGTCTATCTACTTTGATATCTCTCGATCATTCGCTTGAGCTTTCTCTCTCTATCGTTCGCTCTCTCTCTCTCTGTCTCTCTCTCCCTCTCGCTCTCTCTCTCTCTCTCTGTCTGTCTCTTCTCTCTACGGCTCTGCCTCCAATTTTAGGACATTTTCAGGACAGTTTTTGACTTCTCAATCTGGCCAGGTGCCAGCTGAACAGTGTTTCGACAGCCATTAATGCATTGATTTGGAAAATCTATGCAGATGAAGGTTCACGTCTATCCAATCCCTTTAAAACCGCCTCCCTCCATCTGCCTCCTTCCCCCTATCCCGCGACCCCTCTCTGTCTCCCTGTGCTCTCCCCTCCCCCTCCGTCTCTGCCCCCCCCCCTTTCTCCAATCTGAAGAGCCCTCTTTGCCCTCGTTCCTTTCCTTCCCTTTCCATCCTCCAGTCCATCCGTTTTGTGCCCCCCCGGCCATATACGGGCTCCTCCGCCTGGCTCTCCCATTTACTTCCTTTTCTTCTTCTTTTTCTCTCTTATTCTGCTTTTCCTCTCCCTTTTATTCCTATTTACATCCCTTTCGTCTACTATTCCTCCAAATTCCTCCCTCCCCAATCACTACACCTAACAAATGCCCTCCTGCTCCTCCGACGGGGCTAAACGCCATGTTCTTTGCTGTTTCTCGGGCGTGATTTTTGGGGGTTTACGCGTGGAGTGGTGCGTTGGGCGTAATTTGTGGGTTTTAAATAGCCTTTGACATTTTCTAACGCAAACGAACTACGATTTTCTGGATGCCATGGTTTAGTAGCGTTTCGATACTTGGGAATCTTTGTTTTTCAAGCCTTTTAGATGTTAAAACTTGTTAGACGCTTTAGAAAAGCCCTATTTTGCTTTTAGATAGTTGAAAAATGCTTAAAAAATATTCTAGTAGACAAACTTGTAAGGCTACAAACTTTTGTAACGGTTGGATACCTAGGAATCCGTCCTTTCTAACCTTTATAAAGGCTAAAAATTCCCTAAACTTTTTACAAAAGTGTTCTTTTTTAATTTAGAATTGTCTTGATCGTCTATTTCTATATTTTGCGAGTTTATCAAGTGTAATTTTTACTTTTTTAGTTTTAGAACGTAAAAACTGATAAAGCTAGTGCTGAAAGTCATTTTTGCCTTTTTTCTAAGTTAGATTTTATCCTTTTAAGCCAATCTTAAGGCAAAAACCCTACGAATTTTGTGAAATTACCGGCCACGTTAATGGCAATCTCAAAAACATTTTTCATCGCTAATTTGCTGATTCTAAAAATCGTGCACCACTCAAACTGTTAATTGGCACCACGCGGAACCGAACTTTCGGAAACTCGACTCTTCTCTCTGGTCGTTCGATGACAATCCCCGATGGAAATTGTTTAATTTCCCCCTCGGGGGGGCTGCTGAATTCAGAAGTGGACGCGGGAAAGGGCACTGGACGGCGGAAATTGAGTCAACTTTTAAGTCCTGATGACTAGACATTCGGATACGATACTTGAGAAGGGTAATTTAGGTTTTGGCGAAAATTTTTGAGCGTTTGGACGATTAATTAACGTTGATAACGGCGTCTTTAATAGCTAGCGTAGTCGTATGTTTTTAATCACGATTTTAATCCAGCTTGAGCACTTTTAATTTTATTGTTTGAATGTTATTTTTAACGATTTTTTTTACATTTTTTTGCTTCTTCCAGCCCTCTGATTTGTCGAGTGTTTTGACCGGCTGTTTGCCCCCCACCAGAGGATGTTTGTCTTCTGGAGAAAAGAACCCGCGGCGACGCCGACCCGTCAACGCGTCAATTTTTGTACCCTTTTTCATAGAACTTCTTTGTTTGTATTTATTTGAAAGGTACGCTGAAATCCACTTTTCCGTGGCATCCATCTCCTTCTGACAATCGATTTCCAGACTCTACGATCCCTTTAAATTAATGTATTTAGTATTGCGACGTACCGGTCGCGAATCGGATGAAGGATCGGAATGACCGATGCCTGGAGGTGGCCCGTGAAGGCGAAAGGCTTATTCGCGATGGGCAATTCGACAAGGGTACGGTGGAAATCTGCAAATTTCAGGCCAGGTTATGGTAGAAAACGCAATACAATTCGCTGCACTTTTGAAGGCCCCGAGAATATACACTCACTCAATTTCTCTAGCTCTCACACACTCACAATATCTCTTGATCTCTCTTCCTCTCTTTATCTCTCTTTCTCTCTCTCGCTCCTTCTGACGATCTCTCTCTCCCTGTTACTCCCTGTATCCCTCTCACTATCGCTCTCTCTCTCTCTCTCTCTCTCTCTCTCTCTCTCTCTCTCTCTCTCCTCTCTCTCTCTCCCTCTCGTCTCTCTCTCTCCCTCTGACGATCCCTCTCTCACTCACTCTCTCTCTCTCTCTCTCTCTCTCTCTCTCTCTCGCTCTCTGTCTCTCTCCCTCTGACGACCCGACTCTCACTGTCTCTCTCGCTCTCTCTCTCTCTCCCTCTGACGATCCCTCTCCACTCTCTCTCTCTCTCTCTCTCTCTCTCTCCTCTCCCTGTCTCTCTCCCCTGACGACCCGACTCTCACTGTCTCTCTGCTCTCTCTCTCTCTCTCTCTCTCTCTCTCTCTCTCTCTCTCTCTCGCTCTCCAGTTCTCACTACGGTAATCCCCAGACTTCCGAGTTTTTGCCGCTTTTTTAAGTCCGTTCCGCTACAAATTACGGGGATTCATCGCCTGACCCCGGGGGACCGTTTTTAGCGGAATTTGCGATTCCAGTTTCCAAGAAATAGAGGGTGAAGGATGTGTTTGTGTGAATTTTTGATGGCATAATCTGGCGGGGTGAAAGGGGGAACATTTTCATTTGCGAGAGTGCGGAACTTGGGGGTGGTCTGGAAATTTTTCCAGAGCTGCCGAAAATCTAAAATACTAGAAATGGAAAACGGTGAGAAAACTGGTCAAAATTGGTTGGAAAATATTTCTCCACATAAAAACTCGAATTTAAGTATCGTAAAATTTGAAAGTTGCAATCAATGATTAATTTAATTGAAAAATGTTGAAAAATCGTCGAAAAAGCAGATATTTTGGCAAAATTCAGCTCTTTTAATTGTATCTATAGATGATGGAATACAAGGTTTTGTAAGCATAATATTAAAAAATATAAAAAGCTATGCGTTACGGAGAATTTAAATAGAAAATACTCAAAAAGCACTGAAAAATTCGGTATCTTAAAAAATTCAGCTCTTTGAGTTTTTTAAAATGTAAAAACGAATTTTTATCAATATAACGTTTGAAAATATACTTTTGAGGTATCGAAGCAATGGAGGAGGCGATCCAGATCGGGACCAGCGATCTACTAACCCTCTCGGCCATCTATTCCCAACTTGGAAACGCGTTCTTCACCGTGGGATCGTACTCGAAAGCCATCGAATTCCACCGAAATGATTTGTTGTTGGCGAGGTACTGTAGAATGTAAAATAGTACGAATTACACCCAATTACAGGGTGCTCTCCGACAAGACGGGCGAGGCGAAGGCGTGCGGGAATTTGGGGAATGCAATGAAGGCCGTTGGGCAGTTTCACTTGGCGCTTTCGTATTTTGAGACCCAGCTGAGGTTGGCAAGGCAGTTGGAGGACAAGGTGGGTGTTAAGGTATAGTATGAGTTTATTCATAGTATGAGTTTGTACTTTGTGCAGAATTTGTACCAGTTCTACTGTAACCCGTTAAAATACATATTTTGACTTTTTTAGTACCTTGAATCGCGAGCCTTGTTCCACCTCGGAACCGCCTACCAAGCTCGTGGAAAAGAGAATTCCCGGACGCTCCTCAGCCTCCCGCTCGACGCCCCGGAATGGCACGTTGCCAAGGAGGATCTCGAGATGAGCAATCAGTACTTTAGGTACGCTATGATACGCCCAGTGAGCGTAAAGTGCGCTAAGATACTGTTAATACGCATCGAACGTACCGAACGATCCTACTAACAGCAGTAGAATCGCGTTTTAGGCCATTCTCACACGCGTAGCGTAGCCGGTACGTTACGGTAGTTCGAGCATGCACAGAGCCCTACGGGAAACTACTCTTGACGCATACGTTATGGTACTATTAACAATTGTAGAGATACGCTACGATACTCTCACCCGCGCAAAAAAGTAAGCAAAGAAAGTAGGAAAGAAGTGAGAAGTATTAACAAAGACTACGAAATTCATAGCGTACATTACCATAATTTTTGCGTACGCTACGACACTATTAACGTACCCTAGGATACTCTTAGCGGATATCAGTACGCTACGATACCTTTAAATTTTCTAAAGCAATAAAACGGTAATTTTTGACACCCTTACCCCCTCATAATTCCAGAACAAACCTCGACTTGGCGAACTCGTTGAAGGACTACCTTTTTGTCGGCCGAATCCTGGGCCACCTGGGCAATAACCACTATTTACTCCGGGATTTTCGATCGGCCATTGAGAATCATAACGAGGTAAGGTACGCTCCGAAACCTTAATACTCTCATTTTAGCGCCTCGACATTGCCAACCAGTTCGGCGATCGCCAGGCGGCCAGGAGGGCCTATACGAATTTGGCCAATGCACACATGATGCTCAATGAGGTGAGTAATAAAATTTAATGCTTTTAATCGAGTTTAAATGCGCATTTAAAGTATACGGTATCTATTTCAGGTCCGAAAAGCCGTGGAGTACTATCGATTGGCCCTTTCGGTCGCGTTCGACATTGGCGATCGGTACGGAGAGGCCCAAAATTGCTTCTCGCTGGCAAATGCTGCTGTCGGGATCAAGGATTATCAACTTGGTAAGTGGGCTTGACTTAGGCTTGGCATAGGATTGGCTTAGGATTGGCTTAGGCTTGGCTTAGGCCTGGCTCAGGCTTGGCTCCAGATCGGATTTCTTGAGCCTAGAATGAATAAGTCTAACTTTACCGATTTTAGCCACCGAATTCCACACACGACATCTGCGGCTGGCCAGGGAATGCCGCGACCTGGCTGGCGAAGCCCGGGCCTACACGAGCTTGGCTTCGGACTTTATGAGTTTGGAAGACGTGCGGAAAGCCGCGTACTTTATTGAACGTGGCTGGAGGTTGGCTAAACAGGTCGGTTTTTTGGAGTTTTTCAAGTTTTCCAATTTTTTAAAATTTGGCAGTGAATTTTTCAATGAAAAAATGATTTTTCGCATCGTAAATTTTTAAGAATGTATGTGACAACTTACGAAAATAATTTTAAGTAAAATCTACGGTTTTTAAAAATGTATATTTCTAAAGGACCGGATCAGGTCCTTTTCCCAGGTCCCAAAATATTTGCGTGGGAAGCGCTGCTGCCGAAATTGCAAACTGCCCCCACCCTCTCCATATTTTTCAGCTCAAAAAATTTCATACAGCGGATCTTTTTGGGAGGGCTTGGTCTCTATCTTCCTCTTCTCTCTCTCTCTCTCTCTCTCTCGCTCTCTCTCTCTCGCTCTCTCTCGCTCTCTCTCTCCCTCGAAATCAGGCCCCTATTCATATAGAGCAAAATATCTCCCGTGGGGGGGATCAAAATATGACCACGGCCCTCGCGCGGGCGGAAGATTATTGCACGTTGTATAGGTTTTGATCTTTAGCGTATATCTAAAAAGGAAAATTAAATAATTCAATACTGTAGTTTTGAGCACTGAAAAATCGCCTGGATTTCGTCCTTTCCAAAATCCAGAAAGCTTTTCATGAAATGAGGAACTTTTCATTCCTCTATTTTAGGCTCAAGTTTTCCAAATTACACTTTTTAGGATAGCAAAATAGAGATTAGATTACGAACTATATCTTTTCTGAAAAAATGGGACTCCAGACAGGCTAAAAACGACAGTTTTACCTCCTAACTTTCACGCTTTGTCTATAAAAACGTGAAAGCTTTCCAAATTTCTGACCTTCTCCTGCGTCGCGAATTTTCGTAAATATTAACCACCCGCCGCCAGCCAAATTCCGTCTGAATACGCTGAACGGAACGGCCATCGCCATATGACCAACAAGCGAAGACCTCCGCACAGCGTTTTCACCCAGCCCACCCAGTTCTCAAATCTAATCGGCTGCTCCTCCTTTTCCATCCCTTTTTTTGCGGGTGTCCGTCCACAGGGGCTTCGCGGAAATTCGGAAGGCCTTAAGAAAAGAAGGGGAGGGGGAGAAGCTGCGGAGAACCCGTCAAAATGAGGTCCACACGCTCTGCTAGAAGGGGGAAGGGTCATCAAAGACACGTCTTCTCCCCTCGATCAGCTGACAAAAATCTGTTTTTTTTTTGCAGTTTTTTGAGCAGAATTCCGATATGTTTATTTTCATGGCGTAATCGGAAAAGTCGGATAAACTGACCTAAAAAATTTTTTAATGGAAAAGCTTTGGGATTTTTATGGTGTTAATCGGAAGATCGTATCAGCGGAGCATAAATATATTTTTAAAGCGGTTTAATTGCCATTTTGCAAAATTTTGTAGTGTTTGTAATTATTTCAATGTTATTTTGATGGCGTAATCGGTTTGTAAATCCGAAAATATCAGGATTTGCGTGATTTTCATGCCGTAATTGTTTAATTGGCCACATTCTGACACAAAACTTCCTTGAATTTTGCAAAATTTTTCGGAAGCTTTTGGTGGTTAAGGTCAAGGACCTGGAAAAAGATTCGTAGATTTTTTAGTTGAAAAAGGTAAAAATCGACTTCGACCTTCCAAGCACCGTTAGGACTCGGCCCATCAAATTAGCGAAAGCAAAATCTTCCAAATTTCCAATTCGCAGCTTCGAGAATTTTCAAAGATTCAAGCAATTTCCAATTTTATCCCCTAAACGACGCCGAGTTCTACCGTAACCCAAATCTGTTTTTCTCGAAAAGAATTTCTCAAGATTCCGAAAACACCTACATTCCACCACATTCACACCCTCCGATTCGGCGATTCCTATCCGAAAAAAAGCAATTTTCCCCCACCCCCGCCCTTGCCCACAGCCCTACAATTTCGAGCACATTGTTTTCATTTCGGGACCCACACAAAAACGACTACAAAAATTTGATGGGCCTGATCGAATTTTTTCGAACCGCCAATTTTGCTTGTGAAATCCAACATGCCAGCTGGGGCGATGGCGAAATTTATTTGGTCCCAGCAGGATGAATTTTGGATCACGAGAATTCGCGACTGTACAAATTAAGCTTTTCGGTAAAATAAGATGCTAAAAATTGCGCCGTAATTACTGCCGTTGAACCGCATAAAATAGGTTTGTACTTGAACTTTCGGGCCGTTTAAAGGAAATAGGAAGCAGCGAAAATCTACCCCTTACCTCGACTAGGTCTCGACGACTACGAAAAGCTTCTAGTGACACCCCGTATGTCATGTTGGTATTAGTTTCGGGTGTAGAAGCTGGTGATTGTTGAAACTATCAGACGTTTACACGCGTGATTGGCGGTTCGCATGGCAGCCGAGGCCCTGTGGAAAGTAGAGGTCGATTCCCGGGCTCGTTACGATCCAAATCTTTGCATTGCTTTTCGGCGTGGCGGGCATATATAGAAGTGTTACAAACATCAATGATCGCTTAGAAAATATATTTGGCTATCAAAATTTCCGGCTTCTTTAATAACAATTTTTGATACTTTGAAAAACGACTATTTTGTGCATTGTTTCTCTATTTTTAAGAATTTACAAATTTAAATTAAACTAAGGTTCGGAATTTTTTTTATATGTTTTACGTACATCCACGGAACCAAAGCATTCACAGATGCCCGCTCTAGACGTCGATCCCATATTTTCCCAATTTCCTGGTCCACCGAAAAGCTACGGTAATTGCGGTGCAAAACACCTGCCCTGGGATCGGCTTAGGGTCCATGGAAAAAGCCCCTTTAGCCCCTAGCTAGCCATTCTTCTCTGTATCTCTTTCTTTCTCTATCTATCTATCTATCTACCTATCTATCTATTTATTCTCTCTCTCTCTCTCTCTCTCTCTATCTCCCTCTCTCTCTCTATCTGTCTCTAGCTCTCTCTACCCCTCCATTCCATCCGTTCCATACGGCTTTCAGCATATACTGGCTTTTTCGGGTTGTCTCTCGGCCTCTAACTATTCCTCCTATTTTCACTCCCTCTACCCAACCGAATGTTTTGCCGATTGGCACCCAGGCGGGGGGTCGTTTCGGTTCCCTCATTTTTTCCGGCTTTTCCTCTTCCTCAGCGGGGTGGAATGGCCGGTCGTTCTTGGCTTTGAAACTTTAAAGCCTTTTAAAGGGGTTGGGAAGGCATGGTTATGGATTTTTGGGGCTAAAGATCTACTAAGATTTTCCGTAACTCCAGCTTGCACCATAATTTCTTACCGGAGTGCCACCGATTTAAATCGGCGTCCGCATTGCGTATCGCGGGCAGGAAATTTTTTGCGACTGCATAGCTGATCAAATTCATATGAAGATGCATTTCGGGTCCCGCTAGGCGGATTTTTAACGCAAAAATCCAGAATCTAGCTATCCATCTCTCTCTCGCTCTCTCTCCCTATCTATCTCTATCTATCTCTCTCGCGCTCTCTATCTATCTCTCTATATTTTCCGGACGTTCGAAAATGTCGAGTAGCTGCAAATGACAGCTTGCCAGGATCGGAGCTCCTAATCCACACACCCGCACTTCTGCATTCGACTAGTGCTCTGAAATTCTTGGACAAAAATGATGGTTTGACTCAATTTTCCGAATTTTATTTATTTTACCGTAATACGGACACGAACACCAACCTCAGAACCTGGAATCTGTCGAAAACATCGTCTTCTTCTTGTTGTCCTGGGAGAGGATGGAGACCCGAAATTGTTCTCCCACGTGACGTTTTTCATCGACTCGGCCTTTGTCAGCAGTTTGGAAGGAAACTCGGATGTCAATTCAGCTGCGTAGAACTTTCGTTATTTTTGGGTACTGTAGTTTTAAAGATCCCCTTTTTTGCGCTCTTTCTCTCTCACTCCATCTCTCTCACTCTCACTCCCTAGCTATCTTTCTCTCTCTCACTCTCTCGCTCTCTCTCACTCTCGCTCTCTCTCTCTTCCCCAAACTTCCTGTACCCATTACTAACCGGACAGTGGTCTTGCTCCTGCCGAGTGTGTGCGGGCCATAAAATTCCGCATCCCCCCCCTGCAAAGAGCCCACCCGCGTAGTCTTCTGCTTCTTCTCCGCCTCGAGATTGGTGGCCGACAACTGCTCCCTCTTTTTCTCTGCGTCTTTTGTTGTCCATCGTAATCTATGGGGTCACGCCAAATTGTCCTTTTGCCATGTCTTGCTCTCTTTCTTTCTGTCGTTCTCTCTCTCTCTCTCTCTCCCTCGCCATCCATCGAATGTCGGTCCATCCATTCTGCTACCATCAAAAAGCGTTGTTTTCCAGTAGTCACAGCAGGCAGATTAGACCTACAGGGTCACAGGGTAGGGTTCTGACTTTTGAATTTTGGAAGATTTTTGGTTTTCTCACTCTCGCTTTCTCTCACTCACTCTCGCTCTCTCTCTCTCTCTCCTCTTTTTCGGACAGTTTCCCAAAAGTTTCATAATTTATGTGGAATTCTCAGTCTGTGGTGGTTTTACAGCTTCTTAAGGCATATAGAAGTCCACTTTTTGTCATTTGAACTTCTTGAAAGCCTCCGAAAATCGCCATTAAAGGAACAGGGAGGGCACACAGCAAAAAAACCCAAAAAAACCTGCTTCAGAGTCCCTTCAATTTGAATTGAGACACTCAATAGAAAAAGCTAATCACATGGAAAACCTGAAGAAATACCTGAATTCCCGGAATCCCTAGAAAAACAAGAGTTCTCGGCCCTGAACTCTTCCAATTTCGGCTTGGCCCCACTCGTCAGTTTTTCCCAATTTACTCCCAGATAGTTGGGCCACGTTTTTTCTCGTGCGCTCTCTCTTTCTCTCTCTTTAACTCCCTCTCTCTCTCTCTAACTCTCTCTCGCCCCCAAAGGGCTTCATTTGGATTCGGGAGAAGACACGGATTAGCCCGCCAAACCCGGCCGTTCCTCCAACTTGGCAAAAACATTAATTTCGATTGAAATTCGGTAGAGAGGAGGAGAGGGAGAGAGAGAGAGAGCGAGAGAGCGAGAGAGGGAGGGAGGGGGAGAGGAGAGCAGATATATCCATTCTCTTAAGCCAGAATCCCTAAAGCCGCCCGGTTTTTGGTGACAATTTGGTACGGAAGGGGTGAGAATGACGCCTGGCTATTTTGGAGCCTGGATTTGAGCGTTGTTGAGGATTTTCGGATTTATCCAGAGTTTAGGCGACAATAAGAAGCCCGGCTACGGTATCTTAGCGGGTCAAGTAGGCCCTGTGGGGTTGCCGGAATTTTTATTCCGTCTTTCAAGGCTTCGAGCCCAGTATGTTGTTATCTATTTAATTTAATTTAATTTATTATATCATTCCTTACCACCCTAACCGTTTTTGAATGCTGCTTAGAGTTATATCTATCTAAATCTGGATAAAACTCAAATTTTCTGAAGAAAAACCAGAAGATTGGCAATGTCGCGCTCCCTTTAAACCTTACGCAACACTCCTCCGCACGACTACGTGCCGAAACTCTTTGCATATTTGTTCCCCAAAAAGTTGTCATCGGATACGAGTGCCGCCTGATTTTGTGCGTTGGTCGCTATGAATATTTGGTGGGGGAATTCTGTCTACTACCCACTCGTGCGCTTTTTCCTAAAAATTGACCATATCGTGGGAGAGAGCGAGAGCGAGTCAGAGAGAAAGAGAGAGAGAGAGAGAGAGAGAGAGGGAGAGAGGGAGAGAGAGAGAAATGGCCCAGAGGCCATTTGTAACCGAACCCGACCCCTGGAGAAATGCAAACCAGCAAGAGACAATCGGGGAACCGGACAAAACTTGGACACTCTCTTTCTCTAGTCACTCACTCTCTCTCTCTCTCTCTCTCTCTCTCTCTCTCTCTCTTTCTCTTCCTCGTACTTTACCCCCATTAGCGTTCCTCCAAAGGAATCAGACACCAAACACACGTAAAGCGTTTACAGGAAAGTCCTGGAATCCCAGCTTCGGGAATTTCACTAGACGATTTATGCTTTAATGCGTTTTTTAAGCTGTTAATTTTTTAATAGGGTTTTTCATTTTGATAACAACCTTGCGATGCATGCGGTTTTGAAACCCACGATTTTCTGCCTTACGCGCCCTTTAAAACCCAAGCTCTAGGGTGCAAATACACAAAGTAAAGCGATCAAAATCCACCCGCTTCCACCGGACAACCGGGGGTGTAAATTGGAAATTGCTGAATTTTGCACCTGCCCGGGATACCCCAATTTTTGGCGACGAACAGGTGTTACTACCTTACTAAATCCCCGGCTCAAAAGTCTGTTTTCTCTAAAAATTGGGATATTACGGATTTTCGGCCATCTACAGGCAGGCCTCAGGTCTTATCCACAATAATTTCGCAAAAATTTAACTTTTAAATTAACAAACATTTTTGGTGGTTCTTAAATTGGCTTTTCTGGTGTTCTAGAGCTCTGTAATTTAATACAAATCATACGCCAATGATCACTGGTTCAATCGCCCTTGAATCTTTTCCTTTTTCCTGCTCGACCTCGTCCTCCTGACATCAAGTACCTCGACCCCATCAACTGGTACTCCACCCATCGTTTTTTCCAATTTTCCGCGCACTTCCTCTAGACACCTCCTCGGGGTTAATGCCTTTTTCTTGCTAGCTCTCTGTCTCACTCTCACGCTCTCTCAAGAAATCAGGAACTTCCGGGGTCGGGGCACTAGTAGAATAGAGTAAAATAGCTGGGGGCATATGCCAAAAGAGAGACTCGAGTTTTGCCCACCTTTCTTTTGCGCTTTTGCATACCGGAAATGTGGCACCTCCTCGCATACACTTTACTCCCCACAACGCCCAAGAGGCGCCTTTTTTCAAAACTAAGCTAATTGGGGAGTGTGGCGGGAGAGAGAGAGAGAGAGAGAGAGAGAGAGAGACAGAGAGAGAGAGAACGAGTGGCTGGCTTATTAGATTCTGGTCGCGTCTTCGTCGTATTGATAGAGCCCCCTCCGCCTCCATATGACATATTCGTCATCGAGTTTTTTAAATATATAAATCTCAACTGGTTACCAAATTTTTTATTCTGGACGAGAGAGTGCGAGAAACTGAGAGAAAGGAGAGAGACAGGAAGAAAGAGAGGCAGAGATAGAGAGACACGAGAGAGAGAGAGAGAGAGAGAGGCAAAAGTCGGAAAAGCGAGAAAATGCAAGAGAAAGCAAATGAAGACAAGAGATAGAGAGAGCGAGAGAGAGCAGGATAGAGAGCGAATTAGCTAGAGAGACCTTGAGAGAACCGACTTATATGCTTTGCATATTTTTTAAAATTACATTTCTCAATTTTAAGCTTTTTCCCATTGCCGGGGAATCCCTATAAACCCCATAAAATCCGTTCCAAACTTTCCCAAATTTTTTTCGCGCGTCTACCCAACGGGTTCTGGGTCTTCCATATTCCCACCACGGGATTTCCCACGCCACAGAATCCCCACACAAAAAAGAATTCTCCCCGAAAAAGGAGAAGTCAAGCCCTTGGTGGGCCCATCTGGGCCCCAAGGCAATTGGGCCCCTCATTGTCCCCCACTAATCCCATATTTTCGCCTCATCTCTTTTTCGCACAGTCATTGACTTGGGGTATATAATAAATAACACGGCCGTAGACGACATTTCCGACGGGTTCGACGCGTTTTTTGGGCGTGAATTAATAAAGGTTGGTGATTAGGGTACATGTGCGTCTCGGGACCATGGTGACCCGGAGATGACCTCATCGTTTTTAGGATCAAGTTTTTGATTTAAAAGTCGGGTCCCAGGAATTTATCGTTTGTTAGAGCTGCTGAATTTTTGTTTCTAAATCTTAATTTCTGGAGTTTCTGGATGCCAACAATACTCAATTTTTGTCATTTTTGACGGTTCTGTTCCTGACATTTATGACTTACGTTCTTTAATCTAAATACCGTAAGACATTTTGCATTGTTGAAAACTGGAAAAATTTCTTTTACATTATCGGGGGGGGCGGTCCATTTTATAACCGTAAATTGTGGTGCAAAATCTTATTTTATGGTTTTTTATTAATCGGATTTTGGCAATTTTTACGTTTAAGAATAATAAAAATAGATTTAGAAACGCTGATCCTAGAAAAATGGGTGGAAATGGAAAAAAAGGTTAGATCTGCCAATAACTCCCCCGGTAATGTATAAGCACCGGATAAAGAAACCCGTGCCAATTATCTGATTTTCAAATTCAACTTTTTGGGTTTTTGGGCTTTTTTAGGGTTTTAGGCCCATTACGCGACGCTCCAAAACACGCTGCTTGATCACCTCCCATTAATGCACCTTATTTTTGACCCGGAACAGATCGAATCGCCCTCTTTCCCGCCCACTTTTTGATATCATCGGAACGGCTTTTTGATCATCTACTTCCTCCTCGAATTTAATCCGGATTTCCGGATCCGCCCGGCAAAAAGCCTATATTTTGCCCCTGTTCCGGTCACAGGTAAACCAGCGATTTGTCATTTTTCAAGAGTTCTTTGGAGTTTTACTGACCGTATTTTGGTCCCCGTTAACTACAATACTTATGATATATATTTTTTTTAATATTTTGAAGTCGCCCAGGTTTTTTAGGTAACTTTGAAGAAATTACTTTTAAAAAGCCATTTTTTATCAAATTTCTGCATTTTTCGTGGTTTTATCTCTGTGTTCTGCCTTTAGAAAAATTCGCAAAAAATGGCATTACAATTTTCTTCTTTTCCAAATCACCAGACTCTTCGAGAGCAGATTCTTGCGTCAAAATACCATTTTTTTAGTCGGCCTCAAAATCCCCCCTGGGGGAATGACAATTTGACCGGAGCCCCCCTACGAGCCGCTCCTAATTACACGCTTCTTTTTGTGCGCGCCTGCCGGCCAGGGGAGGAACTGATTTTCACGGCATCAACCCGCCAATTGTGACGCAAATCGAAATTTTGTAAGCCCCGCAAAAATGTCAGCAATTTTCGGGGCTGATCAGGGCTTTTTCTGGCCGCTACTACCCTGCACTTTGTCGCCGCCAATTTTTTTGATTAGCACTTTTTCAAGGGGAAAAGTGACAATTAGGGACTTTGCAGCGACGGAGGGCGGGCAGATAGGGGGCTTCTGAATTTTATCTAGTCCTCTAGAAGACTGCGAAAAATTCTGGATTCCCTGAAAAATGCTGCCCTTTTTCCCGATGGTCGGCCCGAAAACGAGCAAATACTATAAAAAGCTTGTAAGTTTAGCCTAAAGAGGGCGACAATCTTTTATTTTTACCGCGGGTGTGTGGGGGGGTTTTTTTTTTTTGTGTGTTTTTTTTTTTTGGTTTTTGTGGGGGGGGGGGAGGGGGGGGGGGGGGGGGGGGGGGGGGGGGAGGGAGGGTTTTTTTTTTTGGGGTGTTTTTTTAATTTTTGTTTTTGTTTTTGTGTTTTTTTTTTTTTGCGCGCCACGCAACGCGCGAGTCCTCTTTGCCGCGTTGCGTGTGTGACCTCGCGTTGCGTGTCGCGGTCGCGGCGAATTCCCGCCAAAAACCAGCTGCTGATCAAAACTGCTTGAATTTTGCCTTCACCGTCCCTCTAAAGTGGCTTAACCTGACGCTTATAAGTTTTTTTAAGCTGCACGTTTGAATTGGGCTGACCCTGGTGGCCCCTATTTTTAAACAAAACCCATAAATATGCTAATTCTCCCAAAATTACCTTCCTCAAAACTAAAAGGGCATTATCGGGAAGCACGTATAAAATGGCCAGCTAAAATAGCGAATTTCTCAATTTATAACCAATTTTTACACCTTTTTGGGTTAAAAAGCGTCCTATCTACGTTATTAGATCAATTGATATTGGCTTTAAACCATAGTTCTGCTCGGTTTTGAACGCTAGGCTAAAAAATGCCCCAGCGACCGTCTGCCGTCTGTTGAGACCAATTTTCAGCAATAGTTATACAAGTTTTTGCGCCTTCTATACTAAAATCCGCTCGAGCTGCCGTATAACCACCGTATATTTCCAGATGGGCGATCGATCATCCGTCGAAATGCACGCCAAAAAACTGTCCTCCCTCATCGACGACAACTCGCAGACACTGTTAATTGATGATGAGGTAGGCATCTCATCGGAAAAAAAAGCAACAAAATATTGTTCGGAATCCTAAACCGTAATTTTTCAGATTCAATTCGATTGGACGGCAGACCCAGACGGTGAGCCGAGCCGATTGTGTCGATCTGTCGAGGAATTGCTTGTAAATGTCGGCGACAAATTGGCCGATGTGCCGGATTGTGGATTGAGTCGACAGCCTGTGTCCTCATCTTCAGACACCAAGCTTAACTTTAAGGTTCGTAACCCAGTTCACAAGTGAGAGCAAGAGAGAGCGAGAGAGCGAGGGAGTAAGGGTGAGAGAAAGAGCGAGCGACAGCGAGAGAGAGAGAGAGAGAGCGAGCGAGACCTTTGGTATTTCAGACAACCAACGAAGAGGAACTCGCAAAGCAGGATGCCTTCTTCGACCTGGTGCTCAATGTCCAGGGCAAACGGCTGAATGACCAGCGCTGCGACGCGAAGGTGTTGACGGAAGTGCAGAACTGGGGCACACGGCATCGGGGAAGCTTCTCGGTGCATGGATGTGGTGGGTAATCGCATTAAAGGCACGGCGACACGCAGACTTTTTCTAAAGACGTAAAAACTAAAAATTTCGTTGAAAAATTCAAAAAATGTGGATTTTTCGGCCAAAAGTGGCAGGTTTTCGACTAAGCTTTTAGTTAAATTTGATAAAAATGACATTTCCCCGCTTCAGAAACCCGCGAACAATTCATCGAATACCTCCTCGCAGCCCAAGAACGGCGAATGGACGAGCAGAGGGCCCACCTCCTCCCCGGCCTCGCCGATCGTGATGATGTCCTGAAAAAGATTGCGTAAGCCATTGGATCCTAGCGTTTCATTTATCAGTACTTCCAGTGACACCCCGGGATTTGATGAGGATTTGTATGATCTGGTCATCAAAAGCCAATCGAAACGATTTAACGACCAGCGGACGGCACTGGAAGATATTCCTGGGTTGAGGATTATGGGAAATGGTCGGTTTTAACGAGTAAAAATATATTAATTAAAATTCATCGTAATTATTAGGTTGGAACATAAGTTCGCGCAATCGAACATTGGAAATTTCTTTTTGAAAATTTAGTGGCCAGATTCCGATGTTCCTTCTTTGCATTTATCTATTCGTTCATGCGTATGTGGGACCAAAATTACAGGTTTTTAGCCCCAGTAGTTTTGAAGATTTTGCTTCTCTCGGTGCGCTTCAAATTTTGACCGGACATCTTTCCGAACCGCCATAAAGTCACCATAGGAACTGATCACACTATAATAATAAGTTATATCTATCAGTGCATGCCGAATTAGCCTAAAAGGAAGCCAATTTTGTTTTGTAAGGCGGGCCGAAGCGATTTCATTCGCTAAATCTAGCTTTAAAAATTCTAATAGGAGCAACGCGATTCCGTCATCGAATAGAGAATTTTGCATATCCTTCATCTAATTTTGTTTTGCCCTTTTCCGTCCGAAAATTAGAGTTTGGCGAACTTTGTTCAACCTAATATAATAATTTAGGCCGAAAAATTTGAACCAGTTAGGCTGCCTTGCGGTAAATTAAACTTTTTTAAGTTTAAAATACCGAATTTTTCGGTTTTTTTTGCATAAAATATCATTAAAAGTATATTTTCAGAAGCTTTAAGCCATAATAAAAACATTTAGAAATAAAAAATATTTTACCGTAAAAACGAAATTCTCTAGACAACGACTCGGAGAAGTTTGCCACCACCGTCCCCGAGGAGGACATTATGGAGATTGTGATGAGGATGGCCGCCGGAAGGATTGATGACCAACGAGCCGCCTTCAACCCGTCCTCCTAGAAGAGAGAGAGAGAGAGAGAGAGAGAGAGAGAGAGAGCTAGAGAGAGAGAGACGAACCATTCCTTCCCCCGATATTTTGTACTCACGCTGTGATACTCGAATCGGCTTCTTCTTTTGTTTTTTTTGCGCTTTTTCACCTGTATACTATGTACGGAAACGATTTTTGTGTGTGTGCAAAAATTTAATATTAAGAATTCTTTAGCTTCGAAAATTTAAAGGGTGATTTTAATCCACAAAAACCCCCAGAAAATTATGGAAAATGGCATTTTTGGCCGGAATTTAATGGAATTTCATGGCGTAATCGATTCCATCCTTTAAATTATCCATAACACTTAAATTAGCCAATTTTTCTGTATCAAAGATTCCTTTATTTTTCTAAAAATCCCTCCAATTTCTTTCCTATCCGACAAACTCTAAAACGTGCTACTTTTTCGCCGTCTTTCCCCCGCAGGCTTTTTTTCTAAATTTGCATATACTTTTTCTTTTCTGTGTGCTGCTATGCAATGACGATCCCCCAGCGATTTTTTGTAATTTTTATCGTGTTTTTGTTGCGAAACCACGCCGAATATGGGTGCATTAATGGCACATCTACGACTTTCAGCCGATTTTCAGAAAATTCGGTCAGAATGCCGCCAAGTAAAAATGCCGACAATCGAAATGTCGACAACCAGAATGCCGACAATCGAAATGCCGACAAGCCAGAATTTCGACAGTCAAAACACAAAATTAAGCGTAAAAACATCTAATTCCAAGCCTGGTTTATGGTTTGTCGGCATTTCAGCTGTCGGTCTTTTAGTTGACGGCATTTTTGCTTCATCATATGATTTCGGCCAAAATGCCGACAACCTAAAACGCCGCCAGGCATAGGGATAAATTAAATTCCAAAAAACTTTAATTCCAAGTAATTTTGGGTATTTTGGTTTGTCGGGATTTTATCTGTCGGCCATTTAGCTGTCGGCATTTTAATTGTCGGTATTGTTGCCGTTCCCCAAATCCCCCCCACCCTTCATCAGTCCAAAATGTGATGCCCGGAGTTGTAGAACCAAAAAAGCTCTCCCAACTTGTCCGAATTCTAATCCCTCCCTCCAACCAGAAATTACGTGCAATCAACCGCGCCATCCATTGACATTCATCCATACAACATTTGTGCCATTTAAATTATTCTTGACATTACTTTTTGTGTGTTTTTATATACATTTTTGAATTTTTGGGTTGATTTCTTTTGGCTTGGAATAAAATTTTCAATCTGACGATGACGGCGTGACAATTACAAATCCAAAGACGGGAACCCATCCGAAATCCCACTATTCAGAAAGTCGCCAACCAAAACCGCATTCGTTTTGATACTTTCTGAACTCAGTTTTCTTAGTGCTTGGTATCATTCGAATTGCCACGTTCCATTCTACCAACTTGGAACAAGCTTTTTTGATAATCTTTAGTTTTAAAGTTATAAGGCTTAGAAGTTTTGGCCCCATACATTTTTGGGTCGATGGGAGCGCTGCGTTGCCCAGGGCCTTATTGCCGCTAATTTTGGGTGTGGCAGGGAAGCCTTTTTCGGACGGGGAGAAACGTCATAAGGTGTAGAATTGTCCGGGAATCGACTGCAATGCAAATTTTCGGCCAAACCGTTTGTTAGGAAGCGATTTTCATACGCCTGAAGGGGCGCGCTTTTCGCCGCGATGCGGTTTTCCAACCCTGACCGCTATAACGCAATAACCTTAAGAGCCGAAGAATTCAAAATCTACGTTTGTTTGTCGTAAATAGAAAAATCATTAAAGATTATAGAAGCTAAATAGCAAACATTACTAAAAAATTAGTCGCTCTTTTGCATTTTCGTTTTCTAATCAATTTTTGGGTGACCAACAATAGGTTTCGGCAGTGTTGACATTTTGGTAACACAATTGTATGGAACATCCAAAAACATACTGTTTTAATGACTGGCCCAAAAATACGTAACCTATGATAAAAAAAACTATTGACAAGAAATGTTCCCCCGCTCTCCTCCTCCCCCCCGCCACCCGCTAACAATTCCAAAAATGGTGTCACGATTTGGGAATTCACGCGTTTCACGTCAAAATAGGGGTTGAAGAGCGCGGGAGTGGCCGCGTATCGTCGCGTATGGCCATAGTTGGTTATTTTCTAAGGATCAACGCGGAGGGGGTGGGCCAGAATTTTTAGCAATTATAGGTTAGGCCAGAATTGTGGAAACAGCCGGATAATGCTGAAATGTTTTTTATTCTTCTCCAAGGTTACGGGGTCGTTATTAGAAATGTACCAGGGTTGAAAAGCCGCTTCGCGACTTTTCAACCCTGGGCCTGTCTCTCCCCATAATATTCTTCTTTCTGCATACGTCTCTCGAATCCCGATGAGAAAAAATGAAAAATGACACTCTCTACCTGATTAAATAGGCTACCGCCACTTCCGGTGCATGCTAATTGTTTCCTAACAAAGACGGTGTCCGAAATTTTTACAAAAACTGAAATTTAATATTTAAAACAACGAATTTTGTGAAATCTGATAAGCGTGCACTCATCCCAGAGCCATTACGCATCTAATGACGTATCATATATACCTTAAAATTTATTCCCTATCGAGATATCCTCCGGACATGGTGACGGAAGTTGCATGCAAAGTATCACACACACACACACACACACAAACACTATTTTTTTATATATAGTAGGATAGTAGGATAGTAGGATTATGAATGGATATTCTTAATTCTTCGCACCCAAAAAAAATCGTCTCTGGTGCTCGGAACAACGAATTTCCAACAATTCATCGAATACTATCAGGAAAGTCGTGGGTAGGGAGGCAGAGAAGCGACATTGTGACATCAACCCTCGCCCAATAGCCGGGAGAATCGACAGTTGCTGGCTGATAACGTCCATGTTCGCGAACCATGAACACCACGTCTGAAAAATATGGTCGATGAACGGATCCTAAGAAATCATACCAATCTTTTACTACAGGCTCAAACACGAGGGTCTTACAGGCACTAAAAGAAAGTTCGCGTAGACCGACCCCTATTATGGCTTGTCACCGTTTTTGACCTTTTTTTTGACGCCATCGGATTAGTATACTGGCGCTATTTTAAGAGTCTAAAAATGTAACTTTCGTGGTTAAACTGGGCGCTAAGTTGTCGACCCTGAAAAATTATCTCGAAAGTTACTTGACGAAACAAGCTGCAAATTTGTGGCTGGGTCTAATTTGGGGTGCTAAACATTTTTCTAATACATTGTGAGACACGAAAATGACCGGAACATAGGTATACTGCGTTCATAAAATAGTTTTTTTCCGAATTTCGGGCCGTGCGTGTGGGCAATGAGACTCAATAGAAATTTGCGCAATAAAATTCTTCATCGATTCATGTATCGCGCATGACCCGCCCGTTCGGAAGGACTTGGTTATAAAACATTTACTGCGGCATAAATCGACCAAAAAGCTGAAAAAGTCGAATAATAGACATCAACTCGAAAACGGGCAGAATCTCACAAATTGGAATCACGAAAACTTGCATTGCAATGACTGACCTTTGTTTAGATTATTCTGGAAGCGGAAGAACTTCGTTTCGATCTCCGCTTCAAATTCCTGTAATCAAGCCATTTAATATTTGTATTATTTCAGCAATTGCAATTTTTTTTAAACCGACTATTACTATAACCGTGGAATTCGACGAGTGAGAACTTGTGCAGAATATTTTGCTGTTTCTGAATAAGTTTTCAGAAGTGGCGGAACACCTCTAGCTCAAACGCTACAACCGTTTTCGAGCCGGTCTCATCTACATCTCATCTAGTATTGAAATCCCCTTATTGTCCCCCAAAAAATCGTTACAACTAGGGGGGGGGGAAGGGGGCACAACTCCAAGAAACTATACAAAGCTTATTCCTCTCCCTGTTTTTTGTTTTTCGTAACCCACGCTGGCGATATATTTTTCGAAGAAGTCGTTGATGTGGAGGGCGGCGACTGAATCTCTTTCCATGGGGCTCAGTTTAGGAACAAGCAACGCGATCTAAAAATTGCATTCTCTCGCTCTCACTCCCGCTTTCTCTAATTCCTACCATATCTTCGGGGAACCGCGGACGAAAACACTGGGGAACAGCCACGGTCCGCATCCTTCCATCTAACAACCTCACCCGATCTTCGAGCATTTCCTGAAAAAGCATTTTTAGCTAAAAAAGTAGTCGATTTTCGGTGCTTTTGGAGTTTTTCGAAGTGACATAGCCGATTCTATAGCGCTTCAGATGATCAACAAATCCCATTTATGAATAATTGGCGACCCGTAGCGTCGCTTCTCTTATCTTACAAGGCGAGAGAGAGCGAGAGAGAGAGAGCGAGCGAGAGAGATAGGTGATAGGTGCTAGAGATACACAAAGTAAAATGCTGACGAAGAGCCAGCTCTAACGTACAGCAATAATTTGCAGCGCCTTCGGGAATGTTAGGACCTTCCAGATGAGGGCCCGATTATTCCGCGGCCCGTACGTCTCTTCACGGTTCCATCGGCTTATTCCACAAAACTGAAATAAATATTGTTATAAACAATGGTATTTTAACGTACGGAATCAATGCTGGAGACGTCGGGTCGGAAACGGATAAATGGCAAGTTTTTTGGGAAATCTAGCGGCAAGAGGACCGGAGTGCGGTACACACCGACGATTCGAATCGAACTCAGCACTTCCGCCATCTAAAACTAGGAGTGTAAGGCAAAATATTATAATCATATAAAAATACAGGGTGTCCCAAAAAAAAACCCCCCCTCGGCATTTGGCCGTCTTCTATCCCATCGGGACCAAATTTTTACCAGTGATGGGGACCCATAAAAACTATGTGCAGCCGAATTTTCTAAGCAAAATACTATAAAACAAAAAAGTTATCGCTAAAAAACTGATTTTTGGGAAAGGCTAGTACCGATTTTTCGCTATGTTTTCGTAATTAGCATGCCGATTTTGAGTAATTTTCCCAAAAATCGTCATTTTCGGGTCCGTTTCTGTTCGTTT